ACAGATACGATTCCAAAGTGGCACCAATGTCTAAGATAGGTAAAGTCCGGGGCATAAATAGACGCAGCCACGAGCGCCGAGCCAATTCAGACATAGAGTATATTAACATGCAGGGTGGTAGGAACAGGCTGAAGTGGGAAGAGATAGAAGAACAGCTAAGGGAAGAGAAGCCGATGGTATACGGTTTTGTAGAAACACATCTCAGGGACATCGAACAACCTCCGAACAATCCGGACTACGCGTGGCAATATTGTAATAGAACAGAAGGCAGCAGAAAGGGGGGTGGTATTGGGGCATTCATTCATAAAAGTACAGACTGGCAAAGGGTCAAGCAGGAGTGCAAGGAACATTTATGGCTAAAAGGGAAAGTGGCAGGTCAAATGACACTCCTTGGTTTCGAGTACTTGTGGACGGGAGCAAAGGCCAGAGAGGAAAACCAGGCAATGGTAGAGTGTATATCAAAGGACATTCAAGAGTTAGGAAGAGAGTGTGAGATAATTATACTAGGAGACATGAATGCGCACATAGAAGATATAGATGGGTATACCGACCCGACAGGCAAAATGATCATGTATATGTGTGAAAGGCTTGATCATTTGCAACAGTACCGAGAAGTGTGAAGGGCAAATAACATGGGAGGTAGGAAGGCTGCAGTCAACGATAGATTATGCACTGATGTCACATAGTATGTATGATAAGCTCAGGGAATGCACATAGATGAAGGTGGCTCCAGAAGTCTGGGTAGTGATCACAAACGTATCAAGCTAAGTTTTGGAAGAGCAGTGAAAGTGGGAAGGAGACAAGATGAGCAACTACAGGAAAATTTTTATTCAGAAAGGCAGATTGAAATAGCCAGTAAACAAATTGAGAAAGCAATCACGGAGGATAATAAGACAGTGTGGACATACATGAATCTAATTAGACTCTTTGAGCTAGAACTTGCTAAGACGCGTAACAAGTCACCCCGGAAAAGAAGACACAAACCCAAAAGTTGGTGGAATGAGGAAGTTAAGAGAGCCACAGCAAAACGTCAGGAAGCCTCTAGGGAACACAGACATGCTAAGCAGCGGGGTGAACCGACAGGTGATGTTGAAAGAAAATGGGAAACCTTTCTAAGCTGTAGAAGGGCTGCATCCCTTCTGATCAATGAAAAGATTAGAATAAAGGGAGCTCAGTGGCTGGCAGAAGTACATAAAAAAAGATAGAAAGGCAGCTGCGAAATTTTGGAACCATCTAAACTGCCTAAGAAATGCGACGAGCCTAGAGCAGAGTTTCATAACTACAGCCCAAGGTGCCAGGCTAGAAGGGGACGAAGCTATTGAATATATAAGAGCAAGGGTGACAGAAAAATTTCAACAAAGAAGTACTTTATGCACCACAATAGACAAGGACGAATCAAGTGGTGCAATGACTCCATTTTCACAACGAGAATGGGAAAGGGCTGAGAAAAGGGTTCCTAGTAGTACATTAACAGGCCCAGATGGCATTCCAATTAGGCTGATAAAGACATTAGGTCCGAAGTCTGAGCAGGCTTTGAGAGAGGCAGTGAGCAAAATAATAATCGATGGTGAAGTTCCCGATGGATGGAAACTTAGCAGGATGAGCATGATCTATAAAGGAAAGGGGGACAAAGCTGACATAAACAACTACCGTCCTATAACAGTGACATCAGGGGTCTACAGGCTGGCGATGCAGATTATAAACGAAAGACTGCAGGCATGGATAGAAGATGAGGGGGTGCTGGGGGAAGTGCAGAATGGGTTTCGGAAACACAGGAGGTTGGAAGACAATCTGTTCTCACTGACGCAGTGCATCGAAATAGCAGAAAAAGAACACAGGCCCTTGTGGCTGGCATTCTTGGATATCAAGGGAGCGTACGATAGCGTGGTTCAAGAGGAATTGTGGGGAATACTGGACACACTAGGCGTGGAACATGTAGTCACTAATCTTTTAAAGGGTATCTATAAAGGTAACAAGGTAGTTATAAAGTGGGAAAAACAGGTATCCAAGCCTGCAGAGGTTAAACGGGGGCTTAGGCAGGGGTGCCTCCTGTCACCCTTATTATTCATGATGTACCTACAAGGATTAGAGGCAAAATTAGAGAGAAGTGGGCTGGGGTTCAACCTCTCTTTAGTCAAACAAGGAAAACTTATTGATCAGGCACTACCAGCATTAATGTACGCAGATGATATTGTGCTAATGGCCAACAACAAGGAAGATTTGCAGAGATTGATGGACATCTGCGGTAATTAGGGAGATAGGTTAGATTTTAGATTCAGTAAGGAAAAATCAGCAGTCATGATTTTCAATGACAACGAAGGTAGTGAGCTTAAAATACAGGAGGTCACGCTAGAGATAACAGATAAATACAAATATCTGGGCGTATGGATAAGCAAAGGGACCGAGTACCTGAGGGAACACGAAATATACGTGACGACTAAAGGTAACAGGAATGCAGCAGTGATGAAAAATAGGGCACTGTGGAATTACAATAGGTATGATGTTGTGAGAGGAATATGGAAAGGGGTCATGGTTCCTGGGCTGACGTTCGGCAATGCGGTCTTGTGCATGAGATCACAAGTTCAAGCAAGATTAGAAATTATGCAACGTGGAATAGGTAGGCTTGCTTTAGGAGCTCACGGGAATACACCAAATCAGGGAGTACAAGGTGATATGGGATGGACATCATTTGAGGGCAGGGAAGCTAGCAGCAAGATAAAATTTGAGAAGCGATTGAGAGAAATGAAGGAGGAGCGTTGGGCTAGGAAGGTTTTCAGCTACTTGTACATGAAGAATGTCGATACAAAATGGAGGAAGCGAACCAGGAAGTTGACTGGTAAATACTTAGAAAACAGCAGGTGGCTAAACCAAAAAGAACTATCGGTTAAGAAGAAAGTGAAGGAAACGGAGACTGACATGTGGAAAATGGGCATGATTAAGAAGTCCGCACTGGAGATCTATCGAACTTTTAAGCAGGAAATTGCCAAGGAAAGGATCTATGATAATACTCGGGGTAGTTCTCTACTGTTTGAGGCAAGGACGGGAGTACTGCGAACCAAGACATATCGGGCCAAATACGAAGGGGTAGACACAGTATGCAGTGCGTGTGGAGAGGAAGAAGAAACTGCCGACCACTTGATAATGTTCTGTAAAGGGCTTCACCCTATAGTTCAGGATGATGGCGCAGAGTTTTTCAAAGCACTGGGGTTTAGGGACCGGGAGGGCAAAATAGACTTTAAGCAAGTAGACTTAACTAGAAGGAGGTTATCTGATTGGCGACTAAAGTCAAGGCACGAGTGAAAATTAAACTCTTCACTGCAAAGTACGAATCCTCAAACTCACTTTTTAAGAAAAAAATAAATAAATATAGTTTTGAGTTCATTAAGTATTACGGCTTGGTGGCACTAGCCACCGCCCGATCTAAAGGGTACAGCCATATCCATCCATCCATCCATCTGAGAGGAGGAATCGATTAATATGTGGGGTTTAACGTCCCAAAACCACCATATGATTATGAGAGACGCTGTAGTGGAGGACACCGGAAATTTCGACCACCTGGGTTTTTTTAACGTGCACGCAAATCTGAGAGCATGGGTCTTAAGGATTTTTGCCTCCATCAAAAATGCAGCCGCCGCAGCTGGGATTCAATCACGCCACCCGCGGGTCAGCAGCCGAGTACTTTAGCCACTAGACCACCATGGCGGGGCGAGAGAAGGAAAGAGACGAACATTATCTGGACGCACCGTCGGGCCGAGTGGTCAAAGCATATATGTTTCCAGCCTCCCTGCCTACCCCCTCCCCCTTAATGAACTCGCTTGTCGTTGGTGCCCCCCTCTTCAAAAAATTCCGGCGCCGCCACTGATTAAGGAAGTAAAATGAAACCATAAAATCTGACGTAGACGTTGCAGACAGAATTTAGAACTGCGTATGAACAAGACTTTCGGGACTCAACATCTGCAATAAAGCCCACCTAACCTGCGTAGCCTCCTTGGCTATATTAGCAAGAGAACCGCAGCTCCGTTGTTCATGCAGATTTCGTTTGGGAAACTGGGTTATCATTATTTTTTTTTTCACATTAACAAAAAGATTCCTTGATCAATACGACCAGCAATCGAAATTTTGCCGCATGTATTACGTAGCCACACAAAGCGAAGCATAACCTAACTCCTAAATTAAGCTATGACTGAAGTCATGCCTGTCGATCGTTGACGTTCTTCCTGACTTGTCTGAACTCTTCCAGCTGAAAATTGGCGAGCTTGGTTCATGCTGGTCAACACACTGCCCTCAAGATCGTCTCACTGCACTCTGGAAACATGTAGCTTCTGTGGTAGCGTTCTTTGAAGGCTCTCTTCAGCAACAATAAACGTAATCTTGCTAGCTTCGAGTTCCCTTACTTGACCACTATGCGATTGTGACTTTCCTATCAAGAATAGTATGTCATGCTAGAAGCGGGCGGTTGTTTTGGGAGTGTCAGATATCCCTTCTGAAGTTATCTACCCTGACGTGTTTATATTTGGCGGCATTTTAAGCCAAAAGAGAGGCTGGTGTAGAGGCACAGCCGTTCTTTGAGCCAATCGGAACTGATATGGTGGTGGTGGTAGTGGTTAGAAGATGAGAAAGGGCACCTAATTTCTGCAACCCGGTCGGGAGCAGGGCGCAGTGCCTATGATATGGCTGAGAGTATTGAGAGATTTATTTTTGGTAAATTTTTCACCTCTTTCTTGATTAGGTGTTCTTTAATCCGGCGTTTGCAGTTAGTTAAGGCGTACAGTTTTCTACCGCAAATCATTCCACTGTACAATCTTCAATTTAAAAAAAAAGAATTTCGTTTGAAAATTGTGGTTGAGTTTCTTTTTTATAGTTGCTGAAAGCGTAATTTTTTAAACTGCGTGTCATATCTTGTTTAGCTTACTATTTTGTACACCGGTTAAGAACGTGCATGAAACCGTTCTGCTAAAGTTGACCATACTCTGCTGCAGTTTCGATTTTGCATTGCAGCATTAGCAGCATGGACGACCGCGCGTTGGCTTGAACGTCGCCGCAACGTTTGTGTATGTGCTCGCGAAAAGTGCGTCTTTTGCATTTTACGCGACGTGTGGCGATCCAAATCGCTCCTTTTCACCCCCGATCATATTCTCCCTCAGTCTAGAAGCAGCAGTTTGCGTGAATAAGCTCGCCGTTCGCCCATATTCGGTACCTTCCGTGACGCTGCCGGGCGCTTGAGCCGCAGAGATGTCTCTAGCGGACGAACTGTTGGCCGATTTGGAAGACGCCGGAGACCTCGAGGAAGACCAGCTGTACCAGCAGGACACGCACATTCAGGAGGTCGAAGATGTCATACCGCTCGAGATCGACACGAAGGTCAAATCGGTGCGTGCGATCGCCAAGCTTCGGGACTCCGAAGAGGTAAGATGTGCGTGCGCATTCGAAATGCGGTGAATGTGTTCGATGTGCTTGGTTATTTCCGTGCGGGGGTTTCATTGTGGGAACTCTGGATAAGAAGAAGCCATATAGAAAACGAGTTGTGTAACTTATCCCTATTTTCTGCCTCTTGAAGACTTCGCGCCGCGTCGACAGATAGTTTCGTTTGCCCCGTCCCCAGCCTCGCTCAAAACAAACCCTTCCAGACTATCGGAAGGTCCTAGTGTTGGTTGAACACAACGTATGTTTTCATCGCAGAATATAGTGCGTGTTAAAAGTACTGAGGTAACCAGTTAACGAATGCTGCCAGAACCTAAAGGGTCCCTCAAAGGGTATTTTCACATTGTTTTTGCTTACACCACTTCTGGAGCAAATCGTTTGCACCATAATTCAATCGAAGCACCCGTTGTTGAAGGAGCTACGAGTAATAAACATGTATCCTCTAACATAAACATGTTTTGCATGCATACAAGAACATGATACGCAACGTTGACTAACATCCAAACAGTTCTGTTGTGAACACCATGACACTTGCTTTCCTTTTCTAGCTGGCCCGCGTTATGAGCGAAATCAAACAGAAAGTGTTGCAGGCCCGCAAGGAAGAAGGTAAGTGCACTTTTACCTGTGCTTAAATGGCTCTGGTTTTTTTGGGGGGGAGGGGGGGGGGCGGTTTTTGACATTTTCGCTTCACACTTCAGTGACCGGCCCCGTTGAAGCAGACCCGGAATACCAGCTCATCGTCGAAGCCAACAACCTGGCTGTCGAGATTGACAACGAAATAAGTAAGCAAACCGATGGAGACATTGTCCTCTCTACTTTCTCCTAACAGTGGTGAAGCAAGCGTAAACGTGAAAAATAGTGTTACCAATTGTTTGAAACCCTCTGAAGTTAGACAGTTATATGTTATAAAATGCAAACATGTTTGTTTGCTTACCATTTACAGTGCCCATAGCTCTCACGCTTTGGAAGTCAGTGTTATTGCACCCCAAACCCTGCTGATGTGAGTGTTGTACTCAGGTTCACCGTACAACTCACATAATGAAAGGCTATGGTGGACACGTAGGGCTTCATTGCTACCGCACCAGGCTATTAAGGATGAGAGCCCAAAAATTGCAATATAATACCCAGACAGGAACGAGGCACAAGTCGAAGCATGCTCAAACAAGCCACGCATCGTGTCTTGTCTGCTTGTCGTTTTGTGCTACTCCTAAAGTTGTATCCTCATAGTTTGACCAGAAACCACATTTATTTTGTATAACTGCAAAACATTTCTGCACAATTCGGCATTAACTTTGTAATCAAGCTACTTTTTTGTAGTACCTGTATGAGTGCTGCATGCTTTTCTAGATCATTCCATCTGACAATTACCAAAGTTATTTCTGATTTCTGCATGGCATGTGCTTTATATTATAAACGCTGGCAGCTTACACAGACGCTCGTGCCTGCCAGCACGCGCTAACTGCTGTTAGCGCGTGCTGTTAGCAACAATGCAGTCAACATGCGCTGTTAGCGCGTGTTGACTGCATTGTTGGATAGGATGAATAAGCGAGCCCCACCGTGGTGGTCTAGTGGCTAAGGTACTCGGCTGCTGACCCGCAGGTCGCGGGATCGAATCCTGGCTGCAGCGGCTGCATTTTCAATGAAGATGGAAATGTTGTAAGCCCGTGTGCTCAGATTTAGGTGCACGTTAAAGAACCCCAGGTGGTTGAAATTTCCGGAGCTCTCCACTACGGCGTCTCTCATAATCATATCATGGTTTTGGGACGTTAAACCCCACAAATCAATCAATCAATGCATAAGTGAATGTGCATACCAATGTATTGAAAGACTGTTGCGAGATGTATTTTTTTGGTAACTTTCCGCTCTAGACATCATTCACAAGTTTACCCGGGACAACTACCAGAAGCGATTCCCCGAGCTGGAGTCGCTTGTCCCAGGAGCCCTGGATTATGTCCTGACCGTAAAGGTATGCTTTAACTATGCCTATTAATCACACAAGTTTACTTCAAAGGAAAAAGAAAGGTTATGTTCATTTTATTTGTTTGTAGATTAAATGCAGTAGTATTCTTGTGGTGCTTTAACATGTACATTCTAAGGGTTAGCATGCCATGGATGTATACAATCTGCATACGTGAACTGACCATTTGCAAAAATCTGCTAGGCAGCTTTCCTGCAAGGTTATTTTCCAACCCAAACCTCTTGTGCGCAGACTGCATTTTTCGCTCACTGTGCTTTTACCGCTCCTATTTCAGTGAAAGCACGTGAGTACAACAAAACAACATTTAGTCCCAGCTCATGCGAAGCCTCAAATTGCATGGTGGATGAGGCACCTGTCATTCGTAAGTAAGGGGTGGGGATAAGGCAAAAACACAATGAGTGTGAAAAGCAGTCTGTGGACGAGAGGTTTCAATTGGAAAACAATCTTGCAGGAATGTCCCCTTGCAGATTTTTGCAGATTGTCAATTAGGAGCTTTTATTTTGTGAACATCTTTTCGAAACCTTTCTTTTCATACATCATGGCTGATGAGCAAATTGTGGTCAAAGGTCCGTTCACCGTCATTGGCAGTTTCTGTCCATGCCTATGTCAGGTCCAGCAATGCCGGGTCAGACGTGTGAGTTAGGAGGATGCATAATGTTACAAAGTATGGCCTCATTTGTAGTAGTGCTTGCTCATTCCTTCTCTACGCATTAAGTCTGGCTTTACTAGGGAACCATTGTGATGAATACGTTTCTATTGTGTTAATACACTTTTGCCAAGAGATCTAACCGACCTCATGTAGCCTACATTCATTTTGCCTTTCGTAATACATAAAGTGCTTTAACCAACAATGTAAACGTCAACTCTAAGATGTAGAATCAATGACGCTGCCCTCCTCTCTCAGTCGTAGATGCATACTGGGATGTTTCGCAGTGCATTAGCTGTCATGCAGAGCTGTCATGCCTTTTCTGTGTAGGAACTTGGCAACAGCTTGGAAAAGGCCAAGAACAATGAAGTGCTGCAGAGTTTTCTGACACCTGCCACCATCATGGTCGTCAGCGTCACAGCATCGACGACACAGGGGCAAGTAGTGTTGTTCTTTGATTAGTCATGCGTTTAACCCTCTGTTGCGAGCATTTCTGAGGAGGGCAAAGTTAACAAAGTGAGCGTGTAATACACATGCATTTGACAATGGTACGCTAACAGGTTATTGCTGTTACTGGCGTCAATCATCTTACACTACTGTGTTCATATTCATATGCATGTCACCGCCACTTCAAGTAGCAGTGCTTGCATGCTTATAGAGCAAGACATCTTCAGGTACCTCTCTTCTATCATTCTCACTCTTGGGTCCTTGTTTTTTTATTTGCAACCATGCAGGCAACTACTTTCGCAAGAGGAGTTGACCACCATCTTTGAGGCGTGTGACATGGTAAGCACTGACTGTCAGAAAAGCAGCACATTACAAACTTCTAGAACCATCAGTGAAAATATAAAAAGAAGGACTGTTCTGGAATTCAGTACTACTAACGCACTATAAGTTTGCAATGTCATATTTAGATCGCAACGCTTATGACATTTCGAGAGATGCGTGCGTAATAGGTGGTCTTGCAAACTCTCATTTATCAAAGCAACACTTCTATGCCTTGTGCACTTGAGGTTTCCTGCGCATCATAGCATGCTGAATGGCATCATTTCTTTCTGTGCAACCTGGTGACCACAAGCAATGTCTTACAGGCTCTCGAGCTGAACGACTTCAAGTTGGAGATCTACTCGTATGTCGAGTCACGGATGTCGTTCATTGCACCCAACCTCTCTCAAATTGTCGGAGCGTCGGTTGCAGCGAAACTGATGGGTGAGTTTCAGAGGTTGCTTCTCGCGCCTTGAGCTGTCGCATCGCTTTTGCAATCGATTCGAAGTCCATGTGACGTGCTTCGTATTTTCGCTGTTGCTTTTCTACTTGATTTCTGTGGATCAGTCAGCTGATCAATCAACCAATGATTTGCTTAATTTCTCAACCTTAGGTGTAGCCGGTGGCCTGACCAACTTATCCAAGATGCCCGCCTGCAATGTGCTCGTGCTCGGCTCCCAGAAGCGCACGCTGTCTGGCTTCTCCTCCACGGCAGTCATGCCGCACACGGGCTTTGTCTACTACACGGACATTGTACAGAACACACCGGCGGTGAGTTGCGGTAGCCACTTGCTCGTAATTGTGCTTATTTAACTATCGTCACGACATAACCACACTGCTCTGCATCTCCTCGTGGTCAGGACCTGCGACGCAAGGCCTCCCGGCTGCTGGCAGCCAAGTGTGTGCTGGCGGCGCGCGTGGACAGCTTCCACGAGTCCCCGGACGGCACGGTGGGTGTGTCCCTCCGGGAGGAGGTGGAACGCAAGCTGGACAAGCTTCAGGAGCCGCCGCCCGTCAAGCAGGTCAAGCCGCTGCCCCCGCCCATCGACCAGAACCGCAAGAAGCGCGGAGGACGCAGGTCTGTATCTCTCGAGAGGTCCCTTACATACGAACGTGTCACAACGCAGAACCATGGGTTGGCAAAAAAGTGGAGCTCACTCAACACTCACTCAGAAAATGTATTTCATGCTTAAGGCTCCCTTGGACTCAAACTGACCAAAATACGACTGAAGTGGACTCGCCCAGACTAAGATTCACTAAAATCTCCCTCAATGAGAATCACTCAGACTCAAAATTGCCAAAGTATTACAGTGGAACTCCGATTATAGGACTTACATAGGAGAAGGCAAAACCGTCGTGCAATTTGGGCGTCGTATAATCAAGAAACTAAAATTATAAGCAGTGACACTCAGCCTTGCCCAAAAAACAGGTGCAGACTGCCTGAATAAGCCCCCAGCACAACATTGTGCCTCTGCAAAGAAAGTTAATTGAATTATTCTTGCCAGTGGCAGCTAATGGCAGCATTGCTTAGTTGGAGGAAAGGCGAGCGCATCTTTATTCTCAACCTTCAAAAAAATCGAATGCGACGCGCAACTCTGTACTGATTGATAAAGTCCGAAAATTGCCAGCATGTGAAATTGAAACTGGGTCGCCAGCAACCTCCAGTCTGAACAGTCAGGCACAGTGTCATTGGTATCACATAATGGCGACGGACAGCGAGTTTGCATAGAATGCTTTCGTGCGTGGCTGATCTGTGCGTGTTGTAGTTTGTTGCCTTGTGAAGTGGAATGAGTGGTGTCCCGCTCTTGGTATGAGTGTTGGCGTCAAGAGAAAGTAATTTTGCACGGAGAAAACACCAGCATCGCCCCCTTATGCGTGCGCAGGCCTGTGATTGCGAGTGCGGCTAAGGCAAAGGATCAGCTGCATGTTAAGGAGGAAAAGTTTCCGCAGACCGAAAGCATGAAAATATCAGCCTTTCAGCTGGCTGAAGCTACTCCGTGTGGATAGTGCTTGACTACGTAACGACCTTGGATACGTACGCACGCAACTGAGGCTTAATTTTGCCATGAATTGAAAAAATTTTTGTTATGCGATGCTCACTCTTCTGCCTAACCGGTTTCTCCCTCGCCATGCCCTTCTCTTTTCAGTCTCTCGGTTTTTTTTTATGTCATGCTATTTATATAGAAGTATATAAATATATTTTACCATTTATATTTCTGACTGCATTTAGTTGATTAGAGCATCATAATTTATGTGTATCTGTATTTCATTTTTTAAACCTTGTATTCTCTTAGTTTCGCACTGTTGTTGCTAACCAAATACTTGTGTTTACGTTTCATAGGAGGTCCTGTTTCAGTGTACACTACGGGACCTTTTTCTGTATATTCTTTTTTTGTACATATTATTATGAAATAATAAAACTTGATTTGATTTGATTATGTAGAAGCACATGAACTTCCAGGAGAATAAGTTTTCCACTCTGAGAAGGCATCCTGTCTCACTCTCTACTTCTCCAATCATCAACCTAAGGGAACGCAAGTTCATATTTTGTACTTGCGAATATTTGGTCGACATTTGATTCAAGCAAAGGTGGTTTTCTTCTTTTGGGCAGAATCTGAAAGTCGTAAGATGGAGGGGGGGGGGGGGGGTTCAGCGTGAAACTTTGTCGTATAACCAGGGCTTCTAATACATCATTTCTGTGGGGATTTTGCCGAGACCAAACCGATTCGTCGTAAAATGCGGGTCATCGCATAACCGGGGGACGTATAATAGAAGTTCCACTGTACTCAGTTGGACTCACTCAGACCTTTGGCTCATTCTTAGTCTGAGTCTGAATTAGTCAACTCATCAGTGTGCTAGCATATAATTTGCCTTTTTTGGTTATGGTTTCAATGCTCTTCAACCACAATATGTAACGTAATCAGTGCTTTCTGTGGCACTTTTCGATCTTGTGCCTTCAAATACAAATTATCAATCATTGCAACCCAGTAAGCACGTTTTTAGAAAACAAGGCTCATACGAGGTGCTTTATCGAGAACTTCCAGTTGAAAGAGTTTCTACGGGGAAATCAATGCACTTCCCTCCTCCATAACATCGTGCTCCCGATTAATATAGAGGTGGCATATGAATGCTGTTGCATTGCAATATATAAGTAGACGCGAATATAAATGTGAACTGGCACGAGGCTGATAGTAATACTAAAGATGAGTGAGTAGTTGGGGCCATAGGGTGTCGAAGTGGATCTCTAACCAGAGTCACCGAGGAAATATAATTTACACTTATACTCGGGCTTGCCAAAATTTGTTTGACTGAACTCACTCAAACTCAATCATAGCCCCGGTTTAAGTCTGAGTTGGTCAACTCGTGAAAGAGTTTGCCTACCTCTGTGCAGAACCAATATCACCACAGAAATGGAAATGGTCTCATGGAAATGGTTTTTCAAGAAGACCCACCATGACAACTCAGTCTTTATGAAAACATTGTGCTGCCAGGTCGGGTCACTGGCCAAATTCTTGGCCAGAAGCTGACCCAAAGGTTGCAGGATCAAATCTCAACTGTGGCGGCCACATTTTTGATGGAAACGAAGTGCTAGAAGCCCATGTGCTGAGATTTAGTTGCACGTTAAATAACGCCAGGTGGTCAAAATTTTCCAAGCCCTTCAATACAGTGCCTCTCACATCATTGTTTTGGGACATAAAGTCTCAACAATAATTCTCATTCTTGTTAGTTCCTGGCCACTGTTGCTGTATTTTGAGAAGGCCAAAGCACCAAAATGCCATTTTTCTTACAGTTAGTTTCAAATTTAAGAAACCCGGCAGCAATTTCACCTCAGGTTTTCTCCGAAATTCCATGCTACGAGTATTTTCAAGCAAGATCACAAATCCGTTTTTATAACCAGCAGCTGTACAAAAGAGGAGTTATTTGTGAACTTTGTGAGACATTGTCCGTAACTGAAGGTGTGCGTCACTTCCACAGGGTACGGCGAATGAAGGAGCGATTTGCTGTGACTGAACTTCGCAAGCAAGCCAACCGAATGAGTTTCGGAGAGGTGGGTTTATCAGTCTGCCTCTGCCATTTTCAACTTCCTATGCAACAGTTCATCTTCAGTTATACCAGTTCATCTTGGTTGAACAGTGCATGCGGGACGAGGACGAAGGGAAAGAACACAGACAAGCACTGACTCGTGACTAGCACTTATTTGGAAAAAAACAGATGATATATAGGTCCCGTGTGCGCTGTTCGACTTAGCTGAACCCATACCAACTCGCTCAAGCTTCCTTTCCTATGCAATAGTGTTAGGAACTTTGGTCTTCGCTTACTGTCAGCTGCAATCACAAACAATGTGAAGGCTAAGCTAATGCTTTGCACCTTTTATGTCACGTTGTCGTCCAGTAAGTTCGTACCACTGAAGCAAAATGTGTTCAACAGTGCTTTGCACCCTCTTGGTGCCTGCATAAACGCTTAGTCATGGGTCTAGATTTACGCAAGTATAGGCATACCTAGATATGTTGAATCTGTAGGCGATCACAGAACACTTCAATAAGTTAGTACACTCAAACTTCGATGAGACGAACCTGGATATAACGAAATATTGGTTATTACAAAGCAAATGAGGAATAGTATTGCAATATCTGTAGTGTTGGGAATGTACCTTTATAACGAATTTTCGCATATAACGAAGTTATTTTCAAGTAAGGTGCAACTTTGTTATGATGAGGTTTGAGTGTGATTCTTTGTAAAAGATATGTGCCTCTGAAAGAGTGCTTCATTTTGTGATCGTTTCTTTTGTTGTTAGAACATTTCAACATGTTTCAAAGCTGCGCAACAAGGCTTGCTAATGGAAAGCGATTATTACGCTGACCAAGTTAGAGCCCTGCTGCATTGGCCATCTGTACTATTAGATATGCAACTTGCTCATGCTGTTAAAAGGTAAAAGCCTCGGATGTTACTCCAAACGCGAAAGATGACCATCGGCATTGGCAGCGTTAGCGCAAGACATGACATCACAGACCGCCAAATTTTGTTGCGTCACTCTGAAATGACATCACAGGACGTCTTATGATGACGTCACCACACAACATCTACGTTTTGTCAGGCGTGGGCTGATCACAGAGACACTGCAAAACCACTGCAGAGAGCATTCTCTTCCTCCGATGCCGGAGGAAGTGCGAAATCACATTAGGTGCTGAAACCCTTCTAGTAGGGTCAATACAATCGACCAAAAAAATGAAAAGGAGGAACTAGCTTTTAGTAATCTTAGGGAAATGCTTATATAAGGGACCATGTGAATATTTCTCTGCAGCATGTGTTCTTTTCGACTAAATGCCTTGTTTGATGACATCCGGTATTTCATCAACATGAATACGTTAACAAAACATGTCTAATGACACGAGAAGCGATTTCTATACCATTAGGACTAACACACTTACAGGGGCATAGCCAACACATGAAAAGTGCCTCACTGCACTTTTTGATAAAGAATTTATAGTAAACTCTCTATATACAAAGTATAGCCATCAACCCTTGAAGGGCAAGATTTGTGTCGTGCTCCACTTTTTGTGTGACTTCTCTTTATTGCTCTCTTGCTCACTTTTATTCCCCCGCCCCCCCTTTTGCAGATTGAAGAGGACGCCTACCAGGAAGATCTTGGCTTCAGCTCAGGGCAGATTGGCAAAGCCGGCGCCGGCCGGATCAGGTCGGCCCAAGTGGATGAGAAGACCAAAGTCCGAATTTCCAAAACACTCCAGGTGAATTAGACAAAACGTTGTCATTGTGTTCAGTGCTTTTTATGTGCATTGGTCCTGTGCATTCACTGTGCATACTTAGTTGAAAAGGTCATGCTAATGTAGCTCTTATACTGTTTTTTCTATGGTGCCTTCTTCATTGTTATGTAGTGTGTATCGATGATATCGTTTCAATGAAGTAATTTTGCTAGCTTTTCTGTGGCCACATTCACCTACTGTATATGCTGGCAATCACATAGAAATGCACGCCTCCATGGTGAGTTGCAAATTTTAGTAGTTTGCTAAAAATGTTGTTTTTGAAAATCGAAGCTATGCTTGCTTTATGCATTGTTGAAATTGTAATCGTTACATGACTCTCCTTTTTTCACTTTATCAACCTTCAACACTTACACTTTTAATTATATTTGTCATCGAGGATATATCCTTAACCACAATACTATGTTTGGTGTTATCAAATTAAGTGAGTGTGTGTGAGGGGGGAGGGAGGAAGCTGTCTGGAATCGCATTGTAGTTGCAAATGTGTGTGTGCGTCCAGTCAATGTGTTTATGTAATCTAAAGCTGGCACCCTTTTGCTAAGCTTTTCGGGCAGACTACAATGATTATAAAAGGGTGCCAGAGTCTTCAGTTGTTTTATGTGGGGAAGTGCTGACCTTTTAGCGTACATGTAGGAGCACGATTTCTGATAGTTTGTTCCTGTGCGATTTGTTACAAGCTTGTGTACTGCATCCTACTTCACAGAAAAACCTCCAGCGGCAGCAAGTGTATGGTGGCAGCACAACAGTCCGAAGACATGTGTCCGGTACGGCTTCGAGCGTCGCGTTCACACCACTTCAGGTAAGCGGTGCATTCAAGCTTTTGTTTTTTTAAGCTCAGACGAACGAGGCCCCAATTTAGTGAACTGCGAAACACATTTCAGATTACTCAATGCATATTCATAAACCGGCTACCACAGAGCAGTTAAACATAGAGTTCAAGCTTTTTGGGCTTGTTGGTGTGCCATTCTTTCAAGCTTTTTGTCTACCATATACTGCACTGCTTTACTTCTGCATGTTTTTGTAATGTAATCGTGTTTGTTGTTTTTATGTCCCCCAAAACCACAACATGATTATGCAGGACGTCGTAGTAGAGGCTTAGAAATTGCCGTCATGTGGGCTTATTTGACATGCACCTAAATCTGAGCACGTGAGCCTCCAGATATACGCAACCATCGAAATACAGCCACCGTAGCCGCATATGTCCAAAAGCACTAGAACAAATTGTGGTAAAAGTTTAAAGGCAGACATCTCACTTAATTATACCTAGCATACATTCTGTTCACATTCAAGTTCATGTTGCTTGTGCCATGCACCGGTTCAAAATGTACCACATGTTGTCACTCACTCCTGCAATGTTTTTTCAGGGTCTGGAGATCGTAAACCCCCACGCGGCTGAAGCGAAGGCCAGCGACAGCGGCGCAAAGTATTTCTCCAACACAGCGGGCTTCCTCAAGATTGCCAAGCAGTGAACAGCAGCGCTTCTCCCATCTTCACCCTAAGTTGTACATACAGGTGTCAAATAAAGTTCGATTGCTCAGCAAACACATAAAATGCTACTTATTTTTGCCGTCTTTTGAGGCTAGTAAATGGTGTATGGCAAGGCTCAACAATTCACAGTTAAGGTGCAACATCAAAGTAGGAAAAGGTATTTGGCAGAGAGTTGCACACTCCTCACAGTGTGGGCACCTTTATTATTATATAGAGTGCAATACGTATAATGTCGTATAGACAAAAGTGTTTGTAGTTTGTGCTCTACTATTACGTCCTCATGCGAAACAATATATTGTTACGCTGAAGCGGCAACGTGTGAAGGGAGGAAAGGAGAACGAAGTGGTCTGTTTGGAAGGAGCTCGGTGTCGGCGCGACTACCCTTCGCCATTTGTTCTTCAGTAAACACGCCTCATCGTAACAGTTTTGGTTAGAGGTGCTGGCTACGATAACGGCGCCCCCGACGAACGGAGACTCATCGACCACTGAGGTGCAATATGCGGAGCTTCGCCGAAGCCGACCACTTGCTGGTCTGCCACCTGCGATGGCGTCTTACAACAACGACAAGGACCCACCTGCTTCCTGCATTCCGTGACAGCTCTACATCCAGCCTCCATCCTTCGCTGGACAAGCTGGAGACGATGTCGACTCATGCCTCAGCTCCTACCAACGGGCGAGTCGGTTTAATGGCTGGGATGCCACCAGCCAGCTCAATAATCTGGGACTCTTTCTCTAAGGTTTGAAAATCTGTATGATTTTAAAATCACGAAGAAAACCTTACGGCGTGGCGGAAGTTCGTCGATGAAATCAAGTTGTGCTTCGGGGATCTGGCAGCGAAAAAGAAGCGTGCCGAGCAAACTCTTATGCAATGAGCGCAAGTCCCCGGGTAAACCTGCACGACGTATATCGAGGAGGTGCTCAAATTGTGCAGGGCACTGGACCCCTGGATGATAGAAGAGGACAAGGTTGGTCATCTTCTAAAAGGGATCGCGGAGGACGTTTACCAGTTCCTCATCACAAAAGAAAGTTTGGAGCGTGTAAGTGACGTTATCAAGCATTGCCGTACGTTTGAAGCGCTGAAAGCGCGGCGAACTACACCTTAAGTTCGGCCACCTGCCCAACCTTACTAATGTCGCCAGCGTCGACGTGCATCCAACCCCATCAGATCTCACGTCTATGATTCACCAAGTAGTGCGCGAAGAGCTCGACCTACGTGAGGCAGCTTCTCGCCCGGCACCTAATGTTTGAGAACCCTTTCCTGCTTGCGACTTAAGCGCTACGACTATCAACGCCGCCTCCCTTAATGCCTACAACTATAAGCCTCGTCCTCGAGGGCCAAGCAAAACTATGCGTCCGTACTACCTATTGTATGATGAACACACACGCAGACCACCTACCGTTTATCAGGCATGGAACGTCCGGGCCATTCATCTTTCTGCTGACATCAGCGCACCTCGCGAACGTCCTATATGCTTTCACTGTGGCATCTGCGATCATGTCGCCCGATTCTGCCCCGATCGCCGTCGCACGGCAGCACCGTCCCATGGGTGACCACGCACTTTCTACGGGAGCAGCGATCAGCATGTTGAGGATACACCCTGGCCCTCGGACTCCGACAGCAGGCCAAACCATCGGGCGAATCACCGTACTGACTCACCGGCGTCTGTGCGGAGCTTGACGCCACCACCTTCAAGGTATCGATGATCCCCATTTCCTCGATGACGTCCCACTTCACCGCCGCCGAGAAACTAGGCGGCACGACCGATGGAGTTGAGGGCGCCAGTCATCTTAAGCTACACGCCGATACGCCTCCACCAGTGACCATACGTCATAACAAGATTTGTGTTTCTGTGAACAATGTTACAACGGCAGCTTTACTGAACACGGGAGCAAGTGTCTTTGTTATCAGCATGGATTTTAAAACCCCAATAGACAATAAGGTGATGTTCAAATGAGATATTGCAAGCACATTTCATGCTGTGAGTGGAGAATCGCTACGACCTTTTGGTGTGTGTACCGCGAACTCTCTCTCTCATAACGTCTATCAAGCCGAATTCGCAGTGCTTGCTAAATCAATGCATAATGTGATTCTGAGTCTAGATTTCCTGCAACAGTGCGGTGCCACTCTTGATTGCGGTACCGCCAAGCTTTTTGTCTCTCCTTTTGTTGCCGACCAACCTGCTACTTGTTCGCACACCCTCGCTGTCTGTGAAAATTACGTAGCATCACCTCGTCCGTTATCCAGTGTTCAGCTTACTGTTCCTAGTGCCGACAATGATGCATTCACACTGTTGTTGAGCTGATGCCATCAATCATCGCAAAGAAGGGTGTGCTTGTGCCTCTCTGTATTGTCTCTGTGGCCTATGTCACAAATACATTGTGGGTGTCAAATTTGTCAAACCAGTCTGTTGTGCTTCCAAGCGATATGCGACTTGCCTGGTTTGAAGCGGATACGAGCCTTAATATCGATGCCTTGAGCAATCACACTTCGAACGAATCCCGTGCGCATGAGACTAGCCCTGGTGTCCCCGAAGACTCTTCGCCGTTTTTGAACACGATTAGCAAGAGACTACCCTCTGATAAGCATCAAGCCCTGGTCAGCGTCCTTAGCAGGCATGCTTCATTGTTTAATTTCACCCAGGATGCTACCAAAGTTCGTGTTCCCAATACACCAGCTCGCCACAGGATTGACACGGGGTCCGCGCATTCCATAAGGCAGAAACCACACCGTGTGTCTGCATCGGAGCGCAAAGCGATCGCTAAACAGATGGAAGACATGTTGGCTAGGGGTGTCATCTAAGACTCTTCTATCCCCTGGGTTGCACTGGTCATCCTTGTGAAGAAAAAAAATGAGTCCTGGAGGTTTCGCGTCGACTACCGGCGTCTGAATTCGTTGAGAAAAAAGGATGTGTATCTGCTTCCCCGCATAGACAATGTTATCGACTGTCTTCATTCGGCATCTTACTTCTCATCTGTGGACCTGCGATCGGGCTATTGGCAGGTACCTATGCATTCCGTCGACAAAGAGAAAACTGATTTTGTCACGCCAGATGGCTTGTTTGAATTCAATGTCATGCCGTTTGGTTTGTGCAAAGTCCCTGCGACATTTGAAAGGTTTATGGACACGGTACTGCGTGGTCTCAAATGGGAGATTTGTTTATGTTACCTCGACGACATCGTCATTTTTGGACGCACTTTTGCTGAACACAACGATCGACTTGACGTTGTTTTAACATGCCTTGAACAAGCTGCCCTTATCCTGAACTCCAAGAAATGTCACTTCGGTCAGCGAGAAGCACTTGTACTTGGTCATCTTGTAGACAAACATGGTGTGCGCCCAGACCCTCAGAAGATTGCTGCAGTTACCTGTTTTAAACAACCGCAGTCACAACGCGAACTAAGGAGTTTTCTAGATCTCTGTTCATAATTCCGTCCATTTGTGCCCAAGTTTGCTGATACTGCCTACCCATTGACTTCACTGCTTTGCAAAAATAAGGATTTCATCTGGACAGCGGAGTGTGATGCCTCGTTTCGTGAACTTAAATTCTTTCTCACGTCTGGACCCATACTGCACCATTTCGACCCGTCTGCCGCGATAGAAGTGCACACCGACGCGAGTGGCATCAGTCTCGGTGCCGCGCTCATCCAGCGCTTCGATGACGCCGAGCATGTTATCGCCTACGCCAGTCGTTCGTTGAGCAAGGCCGAGAATAATTACATTGTTACTGAACAAGAGTGCCCCGCTGTGGTTTTTGCTGTGCATAAGTTCCGTCCATATCTTTACGGGCGGCACTTCACGATCGTGACTGACCACCATTCACTATGTTGGTTGGTTGGTCTCCATGACCCTTCTGGTCGCCTCGCACGATGGGTGCTACGTTTGCAGGAATTTAACTTTACAATATGCTACAAGAGTGGCCGCCATCATGCAGACGCTGACTGTCTCTCGAAACTTTCCCTACTCTATGTGACGCCGACAATTTTGACGATTTTCTAGCTGCCATCAACGATACTGCCTTTCCTGACCTCGCTACCTTCCGGGAAGAACAGCGCAACGACCGCAGCTTGGATGATTTTTTTGACTCAACCGATCGGTAGCCATGGTTTTATCGTTCGAGATGGCTTGCTTTACAAAAAAATTACGCGGCTAATGGTGCCCGCCTTCTTTTAGTGGTCCCCAAGAATTTGAGAATGCACGCACTCTATGCTATGCACGACGACGCATCAGCGGGGCACTTGGGGTTTGCCAAAACATACCACCGCCTGCTGGCTCGATTCTGCAGGCCTACCATGCGATGCAATACAGAAAAGTATGTGGGCAGTTGTGATAAATGCCAGCAATTCAAGCGACCAAATACTATCCCGGTTGGTCTTTTCCACCCCTTGATGTCACCCTCGTCTGCTTTCGAAATGGTTGGGGTGGATGTTCTCGGTCCATTTCCGCGTTCATTGAACAACAACCGCTAGAATATAGTCTGCGTTGACCATATGACACGTTATGTGGAAACCAAAGCGCTACCAACAGCCATGGCCATCGATGTATCAAGGTTCCTCCTCTCTTCTGTGATACTGCGCCTTGGACCGCCTCAGATTATTCTGAGTGATCGCGGTCGACAATTCGTAGCCAATGTTGTAGAAGAACTCTTGCGTCTCTGTGCTTGCCAGTTTCGTCACTCGACCTCATATCACCCACAGACAAATGGCCTCGTCGAGCGCACTAACAGAACGTTTACCAACATGCTTTCAATGTACGTTGACTCCAGGCTCAAGAACTGGGATGACATCTTGCCATTTATCACCTATGCCTATAACAGGGCAAAGCATGAAACCTCTGGCTATAGTCCATTCGATCTTTTTTATGTGAGACCACCCCGCCACTTTCTTGACACAATTCTGTCTTTTCATGCACATGAGGACTCTTCCATTGCCCAGACTCTCTGCCGTGCGGAGGAAGCACGTCGCCTGGCTCAGCTCCGTACATTGGCAACCCAAGACCGCTCCAAGTTTGTCTACGACTCGTGACACAAGAACATGTCGTACGAAAAAGGAAAAAAAGTATGCCTATGAACACCCTTTCGCAAGCGTGGCCTGTACCAGAAGTACCTGGCTCGTTACACCGGTCCTTTAGTCATCATCGATCGCCTAAGTGATGTGACGTATTCAATCACTCGTCTCGTATCTTGCAGCTACCGTTCTAGACAGACACAGCTTGTTCACATTGCCCGCCTAAAGCGCTTTCATTCTCGTGGCTGATGCTCGCCCAGGGGGCTTCGTCTGGGAAAGGGGGAGTGTGACGCTGAAGCAGCAACATGTGAAGGGAGGAAGAGGAGAACCAAGTGGTCTGTTTGGAAGCAGCGCGGCTACCCTTTGCCATTCGTTCTTCAATAAACACACCTCATTGCAACAATATCTATGGTCTTTCAGGTTTCATAATTATTGAATTCGGTGGAGAAAAATCAGGTGCAATTCTACAAAACGATAATTAGGGAGACATTGTGATTTTTTGTTGAAAGATTTCAAAATGCTATTTTATTTTATTGATGAAATATGCAGATGTTTCAAGTACTTATGCAAGTTAATTAGTAATTACAGTAAAAGGTAATTCACTCCCCAAGTTAGCACGCTCTTTGAATGGTTGGTCAAGAACTGGGTAGTTTTCACAGTGATACACACATTGTCGACAAAAATTTGAAACTCTGTATAGGTCACTAGGGTTCACTTCACCTAACAATATCTAAATTCATTGTCCAGAAGTTGGTTAGTTATATCGCTCGTGCATACAAAGTTTCACAGAGGTTAAGGGGGCAGACTGGTCTTAGACATTTTTTTTGTTCATTTCTTCAGTAATCTTGATCAAACTGCACAGAATTATGCATTTTTTTCTGCTGATTTAAAATATTTAATTAGTTTTCCTATAACTCATCTTGTTCCTTAGATAACTTAAGTTCACCCTCCATTGTTTAAGGCCACCATAGAAAAAAAATGTTTAATTAAAAGTGATTTTTAAGGTATGCCAACATAGACTATTGATATAGATTGAAAGTATGCAAGAGTTTTTTTTTTGTTTTTAGGCTTTTCTTGGTACCAGGAAAATGTGTTTCTTTTAAGGGGAGTTTCGTTTACTGAGAGATAAACAAGGTACAATATTCAAGTAAGAAACCAAACATATTAGTAGTAGTTGTTCCATTTAAGCAGCAGTTTCATGTAAAATAGTTTTGTTTAATGGGAGTGTACTGTATCTATTTTCAAAAGAAGTTGGAATTTTATTACATTTTTGATGAGTAATTAACCGAAAAGCTTGTGCTCTAAATTCTGCTCTCATACTTGCATTCTACACACATACAGGTTTCCATTGTATAAAGAATTATTGTTGTACCTGCCCTAGCTGCAGAGATACTGAGGCCTCAAAATTGAAGTTGTAAATTTACTTTCTGAGAAAAATAAAAAAAAACACTGAAAACACACAGCTTCTTCAAAAAGCGACAATGATAATGATCATGTTTTGTGATCCTCATAAAGGTGCTCATAAATTGTAGCAGAGCTTCCAACACAGGTGCCGACAAAGTATGAAAAAGCCTCAAGTCGGTTTCCAATTTTTTTGCAGGTTCTGCATGCTAACAGCACCAAGAATCTAGACAGTTAGAATGACATTACAAACAAAATAAGTACCACTTCCATGAGTGTGAAAATTTGCAGATAGAAAAATAATTACAGAAACCAAATATGTCAATTTTAAAAAATGAATTTTTTAGTCACTTTTATGGTCCCAAAAAGCAGTCTGCCGCCTTGATTCTCCCTAAATGCTTTTAAGATGTAAGGATTGGGTAAAGCCAGATGGCATTTTGCACGAAAAATGGAGAATAAGAAAGAGAGCACAGACAGGTGCAGTCTGCGCTGTGCCCGTCAGTGCTTTCTTTCTTCTTGTCCGTACCGTTTCTTTGTGCAAAATGCCATCCACAATGGTATACCAACTCGCCCAATGCTCTATTCTTCTAAGGTAAAACGAGGTTTATTTCTGATAACAAACAAGTGTATTTATAAAGAGCAGCAAGCTCAAAAACCTGGCCTGCAGTCCAGCCCTTACACTAGTGCCCCAGCCCACACCCGTTTTCGTCCCATAGTTTTTTTTTTATTAGGCATGTTCATGAGCCTTCAATGCACAGTGAGCAGCTGTCCCCACTGAAGAAGAACTCGGCGGGCAAAGTTGACGGATGGGTTTCTTTTCGAATGTTTGTGGCTCGAGAAGTAATTTTGCAGTGGTCCAAGGTTGCCAAAGGCGCCCCGCCGCGGTGGTCTAGCGGCTAAGGTACTTGGCTGCTGACCTGCATGTCGCGGGTTTGAATCCCGGCTGCGGTGGCTGCATTTCCAATGGAGGCGGAAATGTTGTAGGCCCGTGTGCTCAGATTTGGGTGCACGTTAAAGAACCCTAGGTGGTCGAAATTTCCGGAGCCCTCCACTACGGCGTCTCTCATAATCATACGGTGGTTTTGGGACGTTAAACCCCACATATAAAGGTTGCCAAAGGCATTTTTTTCTCCTTGCAAGAAGAGGCCCTACCTGGCACCTCGACGTCTTTATGTATGTATATTGGAGGAGGCTCAAACATACTTGATTTCCCTCCGTTACCAGTTCAGAAGAACTAGAAGAGAGATTATGGATTATCTTTCAATGCATGGTTGAAACACCTGCCACATCATCTGCTCCATCCTTCTTCACGGTCTCGACCCTGCCGTGACAGAACTCCCATGACAGCTGCCTTCCAACTGAGATGAGTTTGAGACCTCTGATATAGAGCTGCAGAAATCTACATAAGTTACAGAATTCTATGTAAAGTCACGGACTCTATTGCCTTCGAAAATTCATCAAGTGGGCAAAAATCGGACTACAAAGGCATTTTATTCGTCTATTTTTGCATGGCTAAATTTCTACAAAAGTTCCAAGAACTTCGTTGGAGTGCTTGGCCTGAGCAGCGACGTTCTTCTTGTGGGCCACGACGCAGTTCTTGAGCACTGCACCAGCACCGATTTCTTGCGTCCCGCAGACAATGCAACCCTGTATGCTCACACCGTCACCGACTGTGACGCCGTCCAGAAGCACAGAGTCCGACACTTTGGCTTGCGCTCCGATCCGACAGTTCTGACCTAGCACGCAGTGACGGACAGACGACTTCTCGCCAAACTCTACTTTGTCGGCGACGATGTTGTCAAAACGACCAGGGGAGATGTGCGGAAAGATTTCCTTGCTCAACTGATAAGCCTGCAGTACAAGAAAAAAAAAGAAAGCGGTGTTGGAGGGTCATTAAAAAAAAGGTGATTTTTTTCCTGTTACTAAATTACTCCTTGACTATACTGAAATAACCACACTTGCCACAAGAAGATGCTTGGTAAGCAAAAATATGTGCAAAAAATAAAGATAATAAAAATGGCATGACAGTCAGCAGGAGCAGGATCTTGTCTTCAGGAGAGGGGGGCAGGGGGTGCACGGCTCTTGAACTAGATGTCGTATAAGATATAAATGACTAGATATCGCTGCTTCTGTTCATTTAAAGAGACACTAAAGGCAAGTGTTAAGTCGACATTTATTGTTGAAATAGCAATCCAGAAACCTCATAGTGTTATTTTTGTGCCAAGGAAGTGCTTAATTTGAAATAAAATCAGGTTTTAGTGGTTTGCATCGGATTACCCATCTCAAGCGAAACGTCTCACGTCACAGTTGCTGTACACAACATTGCCCAGCTTTACTGCTCCGCCATGGACGCTAACACCAGCAGGACTAAAGCAGCGGAAGCTACAGCAAGAACAATGGCAATACCACAATTTCCTGCCATTCGCTCAGAGATGGCAGAGGCCATTGGTTCAACTATGCCCCACTAGATGGCTCAACCTGTCCAGTTTAACCAGGCAAAAATTGAACTTTGGAACCACTCGTGCCACTCCCCATAGTAACGTCCAGCGGTTCTTTTTTCGATGAATCAAACAGAAATGAACAAGCAGCATTTTATTACGTCTCTTGATGCAGGGAAAGTTGTTTATTTAGTGTAGCAATTACTAGTGATTAATTGTAGGCTGTGACTCTGAAGTCATCCGGATCACTTTGCAAATGTCCTACTGCGGCGTATGTGTTCTCGTGCGTTTACCCTAATTTCTCGGTAAGTAGGGCACTGCTATTCATAATAATGTCGTTTTAGATGTCATACATTGAGCTTTCATTCTTATGTAAATTGTTATCTGGCTTTAGTGTCCCTTCCTTCAATTGGAATATGCATACATGACATTCATTTAATGACGTGTACCATTTGAAAAATATTAACAATGGCAAATGCTGTGAAACAGTCGGCCAGTAATCGCTGACATTGACTAGCACTAGCTACTGTCCTGTAAAGTTGGTCAATTGCTCATGCAACAATGTAATAAAAATGCATGTAAATGAATTTTATTATTGTTTTATTACATTGTCTACTGCTTCACATTGAATGTTTTCCACGCTATCAAAGTTCCCCATGGGAACTCTGCTGTCAATTTTGTATCGAAGCTGAGGCTTAGATATCAAATCAAAATAGCCAAGCTGAAATAGTGCAGATGGAAAATCACATGCTGCCAGCTTTAACTATGGTAAGCAGTTTATCTTCACAGCACTTCTGCAAGTCCAGCCTTATCGGTACTTGCTCACAGCTCAACATACAGTGGATATCAATATACAAGGAGAACACCTAAGGAAATGGCAAATTTCCTAAGCACAAGCTACTGACAAATTCCGTTCAAGGAAAAGCGATATAGCGCCTTTTTGTGTTGCAGCATCGACACCTATAGACAAATGATCTCACCTGTCGATTTGCCTCCATATATCCAGCGACTGTATTTGTTCTCACTAAAAATGATCCTTCAGCGACATAGGCGTAGCAGCGTATTGGATTCTTCTGTGTGCCTGTGTCGCCCAGGTTAAGGTCATCCCCTATATCCAGACCAAAAAGATCGCTCCCACTCTGCGGAGCATACCTTTTCAAAGAGACAAAAAACAAATGAAAGTAATTCAGAGAATTACAGCAGGATTGCTGATACTCATGTATCATTCACATGCAAGCTTGTGCGTCAACAGTGCATAACTATTTCCTTGCTCAAAGCCTCCGGTTCATCAGGAAGATACAGATCAGAAAGCATTCATGGCTTCTTGACGGATGTTGTCATCAAAGTGTGACGGCATGAATAAATCACAGCCGTTTTTGTATGATGAAACCAGATGTTCCAAACCAGCAATAAAAAATTCATGTCAATAAGTATTCAAATACTTTCTATTGCTCTTATACTATCACTGAACACTACAAGGAAAAACGCAATATAGAAGGACAACACTAGTGAATGATCTGCTTCAGTGATCAGAATGACATCATCTGATGTCACTTCCTGCATTTAACTGTTACTTAAGGAAACAAACGTGCCTGCCCTGAAAATCTGTGTTTGCTCTGTTGCAATCACCTAAGCCATTCTGCACCCAATTTGAATATCTGTATCACTGACGATGGGTAGGATGCAAATGAACCACCTTTTTTTTTATGATGCCACGGCACATGCGCTCTTCCCCTAAAAGAAAAGTATCGAAACGCCATACCATCTAAAAGGCCTTCATTTTGGCATAGTGGCTAGAAAAGTCACTATAAATATGGCAATACCAGTTGTCCCGGCTCCTGACGAAAACGGCAAAGAAAGCACGGGAAACGGCGCTTTAAGGTCTTTTGATAAAACAGGCTAAGTCAGGTCTTTATTTTCATTCGGCAGCTATGGTCTGCGTGGATTGCCCTAGGCTCTTCTCTCTATCTCCATTGTCTTTTCCTGTCAGGTCTTGTCAACACTTTTCCATTTCAGGGGCATTTACATCTATTCACCATAGCAACAGAAACAAAACATCCTCTTACTTTTGAAAGTTTTGAACCCTCTAGGAGGCGCTCCAGAAACATGAGCGAGAAGGAAAGGGGAGGGTGTCGCTACCATGGAAACTTGTTTTATCTAGGCACCTTAAGGCGATAGCGCCTACCTGAATATGTCGGTGTCCGCTTGCTCCCCGTCCACGACGTCTTCCGAAGTCCGCTTCGGGGGAGCGTTTTTGAACTGATACCTCGTCAAGAACGGTACCAGCTCGCCTTTGATCGTCGTGATACTGGCGTCCTTCAACAGGTACGGGAGGAGCCACCTGTTCAGGAGGTAGACGTGGGCGTCCACCAGGTCGGACCGCACGTCAACGACGGGGTGCTCCCTGAGCACCTTCCGCCGCAGCGTGACGGTCTCCTCGAAGTCGGCCTCGGCGTTGAACAGGACGAGCCTTTGGGTGCCGGGTTCGATCCCCACCAGGTCTCGTTCGAGTTTCGGTTTCCCGCGCGTCCCGGGCACGGGAGACTCCCGCAAAGACTGCGAGGCCGGCGCCAGCAGTACGGTCATGGTCGCGTTGCGAACTCGGTGCAAGTTCGCGACCAGCGTGAAGTCGAAGTCGGTCACCAGGTCGCAACCGACGACTAACACGTCCTTCTTGATCTTGGTGACGATCTGGCGCAGGCTCTGCAGCGTGCCCAGGTCGTCTTCCGCGGCGGCAGCGGCGACGAACTCGTAGTCGAGTCGAAGTCCAACCCGGTCGGCCAGCGAGTCATCGACGCGACCGCGCGCCGACGACGGCAGGATGACGATGGCCTCGGTGAAACCGGCGTTCTTGAGGGCGCGCAATGGGTAGTAAATCATGGGTAAGTTTGCAACGGGAAGCTGGTACTTCAAGCAATCGGCGGTCAAGAGCTCAGTGAGCCGGGAGCCGCGGCCTGCGGCCATAACCACGGCCTGGAAGTCGATCATGTCGTCTTCTCGCTAAAGAACTGATTAAGTCCCGATAGTTCGGTACAGACTTAGGATACTGGATTGCGAAACGAAGAACGCATAACAAGAAAGACTCACTAGGCCGTACGCTGCTCTTGTAACCACATGCGCCCAGATGTCAACATATAGAGCGCGTTCGTGTACTCTAGACACGTGGACTTACGTTGTGCCCTCAGTGTAGCCACTGGTGCAATGCGTGCTCAAAAAATTCGAACGTAATGCGGGTATCATGACGTCATATGTATGTGGCTCGTGACATGGTTTGTGAAGCTTTACGTAATAAGAGAACGCACTTTGACGTGACGCGTTGCGTATGTTTGAAGTTGCGTAATCAATTGAATGCGTTTGTCAGTGAGGCTTATAATAATCGCCCCACCATTACTAGAACTAAACTCATAATTGTAACAAAAACAAAATAGTTTTACGAAGTGCTTATTGGATAAGTAAAAACTTAATTAGGCTTCAACCATCAGCCGAAATAGCTCAGTTGGGAGAGCGTTAGACTGAAGATCTAAAGGTCCCTGGTTCGATCCCGGGTTTCGGCAAAACATTTTTTGCGAAATCCGTCTTTTTTTCTTATTGTAGAGTCAAAAGTTACAAATAATGCTGTCAAATTCTCAATGCCAAACTAATTAAAAGACCACAAAAACAGCTCAATGAAGCGTATTCCACATAAGATAATACAAACTTAGTCCACACTTGCGTTGCTTCGTTGAGCAATTTATGCAATCTCTTACAAAAGCACAGCTTTATCCAGCGACTAACCTCCAGTGTGACAGGGGTATAAACTAGCTATGAGCTTCCTAATCAACTTCACTGCAGGACCACAGGACACAATTTAAACGTGCAGCGATGCATAAATGCACAGTGTTCTAAAGCACACCGCAGGTGTAGGCTGCACTGCAAAGTTGGAGGACGAAGTTGAGGACCCTGTGTCAGTACAGTTTTTCGTCCTCAACTTTGCAGCGCAGCCTTCCCCTGCAGTATGTTCCAACTAGCCCACACACAAGCTTTTCTAACTCATAAATGCCCTTCTGTTCTAAAGTGCATTTCCCTCGCACCACTTCGCACATTTCAGTTTGTTCAGAAGATTGCATACGTAATCTGTACATAAAGTAACAGCACACAGTATTTTGCTGAATGACATGATATATCGCAGCATGAAATTGGGCTCTACAATATTGTACACAGGAAAGATGTACTCTTAGGCCTTTACACTGTGCACCTAATTGCATGGCATCTTCAAGTGCGATGAATCCAAAACTGTCAAACTGACACATATTGAGGAATTGAATGCAATTACTACTTGCAGGCAATGTTGTTGAATATTGTTGTTGAAAACTTAATCTGCATGTGCATAAAAACACAACTCTGAGCTAACCCAGTCTAATTGCAGGATAAAAGTACCCATGATTAAAATGACGCTCTGTGCTAAAGGTAAGTGAAGTTTTTGGTTATTGCTCTAAATGTGCTGCTCTGAAAAGGAACCAGTCGTACTTTGGGCATAAAAAGCTCTTCTTTGCATATGGGTCCACCAGGCCAGTGAGATGGTAGACACAAACAAACACTAAAATGCATACCATGCATGCACCACAAAAATATTGGATATTCATATATACATGCATTCTCCAAGATCGCTATATTTGAAGGGATCTTAAAACATGGTTAACTAATAGCATACGAATTTTGGTGATTAATGATAAACAGCTATAGTCACAGTTGCTTAACAGATGCCTACCAAACAACCTAGAAAATATAGTATCATTGCAATATCATGACAAAAAAAAAAATGGCCACTGGTGGCCAGTCTTAGGTGCCGACCGGCCCGCTATCTGAGAAACTGTCCGGGGCTGGTCTAAAACTGGACAGGTGCCAACGATACTCGTGCTAAATGAAAAAGTGTAATTGCAACTAAACGGCATGATGGTGCAGTCAGGCATCATGGTGTCTACATTTCATGCGATAGACCTTCATGCATCTTGCACTATAAGCCTTACATTATATGTTTATGCAAGGTTGGCCAAATAGTTCAAGCTGTCCTCCATCAAAAGGACAACCTATAGTAAAAGTTAATAACGTGAACTTTGAAATCACTGCCCTGGAAAGGAGAAATGGAAATAAGCTCCAGGGTTTATAATGCCTGATAATTACACTTCTGGTACTTATACCAACTCGTATCTCCAAACATGCTTTCAAGTTGAAAATTTTTTGTGTACTTATAGCTCAACACCAGAGACAAAACAGGCTTAATTTAACACCCACATGTTCTCAATACCAATACATGATGTTCAGAGTAGACGAGAATTTTCATACCTTTACGGTGGTCCGATTTTGCTGTCACGTAAAAATATTTGCCATATGCAAATTATGTAACCTGCATGCATACTGCTTATGAACACCAATGAATAGAAAGACACACACACACACTTTCCACGTAAAATATTTTATGCATGGCCACTTCCCACAATGTGCTTACAGGTGCCCCCAAGAATGACCAGAATAATGTTAGTGTAAAAGGTATACATGCACCGCATCATATTTACAGATGGCGAAAGAAACCTTCATAAAATTACTTTTTCCACGATAAACGCACAATAAGAATGAGAAGTCAAGAAAAAAATGACGTCCAGTAGAATGCAAAAATCCACGAAACCATACCGTGATAAGGTTTTTTACAATTAAAACTGTAAGGTGCGTTTCTTGGACGGCAGTACTATCCAGGATGGTGAAACACACTTGATTTTTTTTCTATGAGCCGTCTCACAAATATTTTATAGACAGTAATAAACACAAACAAATACACACAAATGAAACATCCTCAGTACAAATATCAAAATATGTTTACACACGCACAGATATGTTCTGTCATGGTGAATGGCCCCTATGAAAGGCCCCTGCATTGAGACGGCTTCATTGATTACTTGACTTACAGAAAACTCATACCTTAGTACCAAACAGTACGTGCTCCTAAATCACGACATAACAACAAAACTCTTGACTGTACATATGTAATGCCTCATCCGTAAACCGAAATTGACGCGAATGCCATGTCACATAAATTCACACTACACCGGAAATTGTGCTGGCATCATCCACAATAGGTAACACAGCAAAGCCGCACACTCCATATCACCGAGAAGAAGAGATAGGTAACCGATACACCAAAAAAATCTCTGCTATAGTACATTTGAACGTCGCACGTTCACGGGTATAGGAATATTTTTTATTCAAATACAGGACACAAAATGTCGCAAGACACAGCGCATCGTATGTACCACACGTTGACAATTCAGTGCAACTTTCAACAGTGCGAAATGCAAAAAAAGAAAATCTCTTAATTAAAGTACCCCTGATGATTTTTATTAGAGCAATGTGGGATAAAAAAACGCTGACAATAAAATCACTTTCTTTTAATTACATTGCATCAAAGACCGTGCCAGCAAATAATAAAGGCGTGTCCAATGATAAACTGTGGATGACATTTAAGAGACAAATTTGTACATATTCTCATAAATTGTTTCCAATGTCTTTTCTCCCCAGGCAATCAAACATGATGACACATATTAAAATGACTGCCCACAATTTATAAGCAACACAATGCGTTTGGACTGCAACTTTTTAACCTAAAGAGGCATTATCTACCTCGACGCTACAGGCCAAGCATACATTTAGGAACATTCCCGAATCTCCAAGACAAAGTTCAAGTTTTGTGCATGCCCAACAGAGGGATCGGAAATGTGGAGATCTCAGTGCTGATAGTGGCCACTCTTCGACTATTGTATGGTTAGCGCACCTTCAATTGACGGAAGATAGTGAAGATAGCACGCAAGAGCATGACTTTAAAATTAACCGTAGGCTTGGCAAGCGCAAGCCAGAGATTTTTTTCAGCAACCTTGTGTCTGCCAGTTATACAAGTTCCAAGAGAGGCACCGGGTAACAGGAACTCTGCTGAACAACCAAGCCATAACGACCACACTGAGAACTTCACCAAGTTCTTACAACGAATGTGCCTGAGCCAGACACCGAACTCTGTTGAGGACAAAGCTCAGATAAACACTACGGAAAAGAAGAGAAAGTTGTGATAACTAGGAGACGCACAAGTGCTAAAGAAGACTTCACTTCAAGTCTGCGCTCGCCATGTTCACATTTCCTTGTGTGATACGTACAGCGCTCGACGAATGACGCAATTTTCTAAGCACGAAGCCGTCAACAGGTTTGTGCCAAAACCATGTGCTACTAACGCAAAGACGATGCAACGTGCCACTTGATAAAAACGACGGCCTTTGCAACACATCGTGACTGAATGTGACAATCGGTGCTCCCTGACGATGCACAAAGCACCAGCTTCCATGCAGTCAAAGTATCGTGTTTTGCTTGTCAAGCACTGCGTGGTCAACTGTGCTTACATATCAAACACCTTGTTGCTGAGCAGACAAGCGGGCAGCCAGATGTACCCGAAGTGAACGTCACACAGTGGTGCGCACATCATAAAAGATTAAATATCTGCCTTTAAAGCAAGGCTAAAGCATCATGTGGCAACAAAGAAGGTAGGAGGAATGATCGCACTTCCGTGTACAGACCTTGAGTCTGAAATTGGACATATTAAGTACAATGTGAAAGAGGTCGGTTACGTCTTATCGTTAAAGAAGCCACAAACTACCCCTCAATCTTTGGTGGAAAAAAACACATCCAGTGATAAAGCAGATGCTGTTACTAATAGCTCAGCCAAACCTCGCACTCATGCACAGGGAGGAGAGCTTGCAGAATGCAAAGTTTCCACTTTCTCAGGCACCTTTTTTTTTTATATAAAGCCTGTGCTCACTCTCTTCAGAGCTACAACTACCGTGTTTGGCACAAATTAAGGGATAGCTCGCTACTGGCCAACAACTAAAATAAATAAAGAGCAGCGCTTCGATTAAATAAGCTTCTCGCCACAGAATGCCACCCCGTGCTCGTGCCGTGCTCCACAGTCAGCTAAAATGACACAGTAGCCACCCAAGCGCGTTCAGGAATCGCAATGGGAGTGGGAAATCGCTTTTCATCACGTGCGCTCAAGGTCGTAACGCACTCTAACATATAACTTCGCTCTACCACGTCATCCCTCTATGCTTAGCTTCCTGCGCACTAGTCGAGACGAGAGAAGAGAAAAAGTGCTTAAAGCCCGAGACAAATCCTGGCAACTATGATCGTTCTTGACAGATTCGAAAAATTTTTGTAGCAGCCGATTCGTGAGGCAACAAACTCCAATACTGAAATCATTCGATGACTACTTTAAAAGGTGGTACGGTCCCTCTTACGCCTCTCGACGTGGCTTCCACAAAGCCGTCCTTGAAGGTAACTACACAATGCACTGCCAGAAGCATCACGATGCTACGACAGATATTGCAAAGGAAAAAAATAAACTAACTATAAAATGAAGGTAGTTCCGGAACATTGCCTTTGACAGATAACTGTGCCGCGTAGTTTTAAAATGGCATAAATGAACACTGAAGTTACAAGTAGTCAAGCAAGAAATTTCACTGCAGTCCATTTCGATGAGGTGTTTTAGTAGGGCCAGCAATTTGTCCAGCAACATCTCATCACTTTGGGCCTCGATGTTTTTATCAACATGTGTCTCATTTGGAGAAATAAACATTGTTATGAGTATATATTTATTACAAAACTATTAAAATATTTTACTTTCTTCCAAAAGCTATAGACAAGCATTTGGTCACCAGCAGAGAATAATTACATAAGTGAATATCAGGTAAAGCAATATTTACACTAGGGTAACAAACAAGATGTAAAGGTGTAGACACACAAACAAAATTCATTGCGAAACAGCACGGCTGATTTCAAATGATCATAAACAAGACAATTAGATGAAATACCATTAAGGACACAAAGAAAAACACCACAACACAGTAAAAGGCCGATTAACAGTCAATGTAAAAAATCAGATCCCCAAGGTCAAATTACCGGGAGTATATGGAAAAGGGTCGTTACTCGATATCACTCACTTTTCACAAACAAAACCACCCTTTGTCAGAGTGATTATGCAAGACAAAAGGGTGTCAATGAATCCCTTAAAGGGGAACTCTGGCGATTTTTCCATATTCACTGAGTTCAATAAAACCTCCAACATATGTTTGCTTCGGAACCCTGATGATATGTGCCTATGTGCCTAAATTGTAATTACAATGAACCACCCTAGCTGTTTCAGGACTGTTAATACTATTTGAAAGTGGCATTATCTCAATATGTTCGAAAATGCACTGGAGTTCCCCTGGCACAGTTTAACCCTTTGCGGTCTGTTGTCGGTTAGCGCCCGGCAACTTAACACGGCCGCAGCGGCCCGACAAGGGTGTTCATGGTTTATATTTTGCCGTTTTTCGACTGAAAGTCGCGTGTATTTTCAAAGCGCGTAAAGCGTCATCTTTTGAGGAACGAGGGAGCTTACTTTTTTTAGGTTAACTAGTTTTTACACTAGGGTGCAGCACTATGTTCAGCACGGAGCCTAGAGTGTACCTGCACGGGCGTGATTCGCTGAGAAGCATGATCACGCTTTCGCTGCGTGCGATTTACGGTGGTGCTTTTAGTGAAAGCGAGGACGGCTTTATTGTGGAAGACAATTATGTGCCTCCGCCAAACAGTGATGACAGTGATTCAACAGAAATTAGTGACGAAGACAACGACAATGACGGTGGAGAGAACACCTTGAGTCTTCTGCAAAGCCTGAAGTAACAACCCCAGCCTGTACCCATAGAATGCTTTGAGTGATATCACACGCTGCCCGAATATCGCCAAAGGAATTGGCTGCTGAATGCAGGAGCAAAAATAAATATCCGGTCAGTTTTTATTACACCATTCCTGTTACTCTTCGTGATGCCAGAAACTGGCGAAATAGTTTCGAACTGGTAGAGGCGGAAAGTGGGTAAAAGTTTTGGACCACAAAGAGTTAAACTAATCTAAGTGGCCAAATGTCCTCTACTAATCAAGACGACAAGGTAATGAAGTAGGCCACAGCCCCTTTTACTCAACAAGTGGTAGCCACTGGGATAAATATCCTTGAATATCTGAGTCAATCAGCTAGCCCGATTAACTATTCTGCCAAAGCTGTAGTCAACGTTACTTAATGTAACATGTCAAGAGACAAGATTGCTTCTTTCGGCAGGCTCCATAGCAATGACATCCTAGCATGTGCCTATTTGGAATATTCATTTCATCATTCATTATGTCTGAAAAGACGTTGACAACAAGTTATGAAATCTAGCTCGGTTCTGGAGTAAATAGTGAAACATTGCATTACCTGTTGTTCTTGCACTTTGCAAAGGTATATGTGTCAACAAAAGTGACTGACTAATGTCTAGCTCAGACAAACCAGAGGCCAATGGCTAGCTCAAATTGCAGAATGACTACTTAAGCTGGTAGAATGATTACCTAAGTAACCAGAGTGGCTACTTCGGGTAGTATGATGGCTATTATTGCAATAGGAATTACATGGACACTCTCGGCTGGATGTTGCCGTCGGCATCGACGTCGGTGTTATCGTCGATGTCAGTGTCCCCGTCACTCACCGTATATGTACTATACGTATATATATGTGAAAACCCAAGTAAGAAATGTCACTGCAATTGTTGCACAGTCTCCGTATTTGAAAAAGCCGCGCTTTCAAGACACAACGAAGTAACGACTGAGACACTTATTCACGTTAATCTATGCCTGTGAGTACGTTTTGTGTGTCATTTGTGTGTGAGAAACGCGGGGCACATTTTGATTTGCTTGCCATTCTGCGCGTGACATTTTAATTTGTTGCTATCGCATTCATTGCTTCACCTTCGTGGCAAAGCTGTGACTTTTTTCAGATATTAGAGTGCCTACATCACCTAGCAGAGTGCCTACCTCGGCTAGTAAAGTGGCTAGCTAAAAACGGTGTTGGTAATCGTGTCAACCCACAGACAAACTGACCAATAGCTAGCTCTACTATGACCAGTGGTCGCTGGTTAGCCCATCTTGTAGAGTGGCTACTTCAGCCAGGAGAGTGGCTACGACAGCTAATATAGTGACTACCTTAGCTAGTAGAAGGGCTACCTGGGCTAGAATGACTGGCTACCTCAACAAAGTACAGCGTTGGTTATTGTTTTGACCCACGCACAAACACAAATTTTCCCCGCAATCCTTTCTTTCTGAGCAACTACAGTAGCTGGTATGTTCTGCTTTTTTCACGAGCATGACAGCTTTCCCGTTTAGGACAGTTGGTTTGCCTAGAGAAATTCCCCACAGAGCTTTCTCACAAAGTAAAAAAAATTGCTGAAATGATTCTATAAATCACAAATAGAATATTTTTCTACAATGGGACACTGACTTGTTTGTAATGATGTTGCAAGAGAGCTAGAAGGCACAGGCAATCTGTGTCCATACCCATCGATGCTTTATGTCGACCTGAGTTCATGCCTCCTCAAGGACACTTTTAAAACACACCACCACTTGATCCCAGAAAGTGTAAAACAAAATATGAGGTGACTATAAACACCGGTAATGAAGAAATCGCGCATGCTCGATAAGTGCCAGAAAGATTAGCACTGTTAAAACCACGTCTGCAAAATTTATTCGTGCCCTATCTCTCTTTCTAAATCAGGCAGCAGAAAATAACAATTTAACTCAAAAGCAAGTCAAACAAAGAAGAAGAAACATTACGCAATAGATGCACGCTTTAAAGATAAGGCAATGTGCGTCGATTTCACGCTAAAGACAATTCCACAAACGCAACAGTTGCCTGTAGCACTTAAGGCATACATACGACAATGCTATATCTGTGCGTGTTAACAAAATACACTAACAACAAGTAAAAATACAATGTACATGCAGTCCATCCTGTTTAACACAGCGTATAGTTAGAACGCTATTCCACACAAGATTCACATAAGACAGTCACTCAGCGCTTTCAATTGAGTGGTCACTCGTGATGATGGGATGAAACACCACGGGGGTTCAACAAACACTTTGCACCTTCCTGTGTTGCTATCACTTTCAGCTTTGAGTGGCAGCCCTCGAACGGCTGGAGAGAAACATATCGCTGTACAGTACTTAAACACCTTCATCACCCTTAGTGATGCTCGTGCTTAGCTATCACAAAGCTAAGAAGCAAATAATGATCTCCCATGATAAACGCTTCCAATGGGAACCCTGCTTTATCTTGTACACAATCTACCTGCCTTCAAAACACACAATCTCCACGAACTAACACTTCAACAACGGTATGCGTGGTTGCAGGACGGTCATCTGAGAGAGCACAAATGAGACACTGCTAGGTCAATACCACAAGAAACAAGTTACGAAGAAAAAAAAACACTGTCTTTCCTTTTCAGCTCCTCTTGACGAAAACTGTTGCACAAGCTTCGCCACCTGCTTCACCGGCTGAAAAACTACGGCGGCGGTGAGTCAAAACAGCTACTGCCTGTTGAACCGGTTGCTTCGAAGGTGGCTGTCGCCACACAACTGTCTGCCACTCTACGTCCTTCGCTATGTCTGCAGCTCGTTGCCAGGTTGGCCCATTCGCAGCTTCCTTTGATTCGGGAGAGAAGTCACCGTTCCAAGCTTTGTCACCAAGATCTGCCGGCTTATCTTTGCTGCCAACTTGAATGGCAAGCTTCTTAGGCAAGTTTGCAGCTGCCTCGCTGGCAACTTTTTCATCGCTGCTTGCCTCTGCCACAGCAGCTTCGTCAACAAGCATTTCTCTCGAAGAGGGAGTAGCGTTAGCAAGGTCCCTTTTGAGGCTTTCTTGAAAGTTATTAATGACACTTTTGCCAAGACTCTCTTGCAAGTCCTCAGATTTCTTGGACACGGCTGGACTCGGGCTTCGCCAGTTTGTGTAGCGGATAGGCGAAGACTGTCTCTCATCTCTTTCATTCGATCTGGAACTGCTGTTGGCATGCTTGGCCAGGGCTCTCCGTAGCTCAGAGGCACCGGACGTTGCCCCAGCTTGGACTGCACTGTCATCTCCACTCTTCAGCAGCCGGCTTTCAGTGGCGACGCTGGGACTCCTGCTACGCCAGTTAGTAATGTGACTCGGTGAGCGGTGCTTCCGGTTCGATCTGGTTGTCTTTGGACTAACACTATTACGTCTCGTATGCCTCATGGAATTGTCGGAATCGACCGTTTCATCGCTCGCGTAACGTCCCTCCATTTCGCGATAAGAGTCCCGACGTTCCCTGTCTGTTACAGGACTGCGGCTACGCCAGTTGGTGTCGCGGCTCAAAGAACGTCGTTTGGGGCTGCCACTACTGTCGGAAGGCCTTGCAATGTCATCTCTTGGTACCTCGAGACTCGCTCGCTTTGCGCCGGCACCGCCAACGGCGGCATAAGGCTCCTCAGACTGTGCGAGGTCGTTTGAAATAACGGCCTTTGTGCTCTCGAGATACTCGCCGCTAGGGATGGTCTCGAGCACTTGGGGCTTAGTGTCAGCGTCATCGACGCGCCAGGCACCGTTGGGAGACGATCTCCTCGGTGAACGCCTTCGGTGTTCCTTGACACTGTTGGCAGATTGTGAGCTAGCCAAGCCAGGCTCAATAGAATCTGGTGGATTGTCACGTGGCGTCGCGGATTCTACACCTGCAAGCGGACAGCAAAAGCGGGAACGTCAGCTGTGAAAATTTGCACTGCACTGTGCAGTTTCAAACAACATGCATCATTTGTGATGAAAAATAAAACAGCTGTTAGTAACTGTATGATGGCATAGCGAGGCGGTCAGTAACATACATAATGCAAAATGGGCTTAAGCATAAAAGTGCGGAATACATCTCGCATCATACCGCATCATACCATTAATCTTAAATGAAAAATATATATATATATATATATATATATATATATATATATATATATATATTTGTTTAATGCATACTGAGTGGGCACCAAGGCAATCATGGTATATGTACACAATTTTAGAGGCGAAGCTCCTTATGGTGTGGCTTGTGCGTACCTCATTGCAGTGCGTAACCACCGTTGGTGCATACCCGAAAGAGCGGTCCTTAGAATGTCCGCTGGATGGCGGCACTTGTATACGATGAATACATGATGAAAAGATGTGACATGACTGTACTTGGAGTGTTCACTAGATAAAGGGCCAGACTGACAGATGTACAGACAGACAGAGAGGCGGACGACAGGTGAACAGACAGACAGAGAGACGGCCGCACGAATAGACGCATGGACCGACCGAGAGACAGACGAATGAATGAACAGAAGAACGGACGAACAGACGGACGCACGGACGGGCGCACCGACAGTCGCACGGATGCACGGACGTATGGACGAACGAAAGCAAGAATGAATAGATGGACGGAAGCACGGACGGACTGACGAACACTTTGCCCCACCAATCATCATTCACTATGTGGATATGCCACGTTTTTTTCATCAACAACAACGAGGAGACTAATAAGGTTTTGTAGAGCTCGAAACTCCAGTTCTCAATGTTCACCTGGACAGAATGCTGCAAGAAGGCGCTATCAGCTCTGCTACTGTGGAAGGTGGCTCCGGAAACCTGGTAGACGCAAAAGTTCAGAAGTTTCACTATCATCACTAAACGCTTTGTTAATTGATTATCACCAATTAGGACCTACTTAAGTTCTTAAACAATTGCTCATAACTTGCTTCTAATGTGCGCAAATTTTTATTTGATGAGATGATGCTCAGTAAAAATATTCACGTGTCCTGCAGAGCGTCCTACCACACTGCTAGCACCAAATTTCAACACGACAAGAAAAAAAAACACTGCAGGGAGTGCGGAGAACTGTTGACGAAATTCAGCAGAGATAGAGTTAATGACCAGCAGTTATCTTGCCTACATGCTAAATGCCCTGCCCATGCCCAGTTCTCCTCGATTTTGACTATGATGTAGGGACAGTAAAGCAAAACAACAACTAAGTTTAGACTGACAAGTTACACTTTGAAAACTCTAGAATTGTCCATTTCGCCACCATAGACTAAATGAGAAAATCAATGTCAAAACTTTTAAATTTCAAGCTGAAATTCGTCATGATTACGTCACGGATTTCAATAAGTCTTTTTGTATTTTAGCCACAACAAAACTTCTTGAAACTTGGCATGTTAATAAGTCTGTGGATCCATTGAAAGACAATGAGCTTCATCTTTACCCGATTGAGAACTGCACAGGCCTTGGTAGAAACCATCAAAACCTATCGCGTCACGGTGCGTGTAGCAGGAACCTGAAGATGACGTCGCCACCTGCATTTTTTTTTTTTTTGAGTGCTTTCTCGCTTGCCAAGCATAATTTCACAGCAGGTGCGGTGTTTTTGGTATTGTGGAGGAGTAGGTTGCTAATAAGAGAAAAATCATTTCTCTCTTCAGTCTCCCTTTAACCGTTATTTCGTTTTTCGACTCACTCTGCTCTCTTTTTGTCCCTTAAGTTACAACTATCATTTTTCTTTTTGGCTCACTACCTCGTCCTTAATTTAAGCTGGACCCTTTTCGTAAGCCTACACATTCCTGCTCCGTAGGTAGGTACCAATAAGATGCAGCTGCTATATACCTCTCTCTAAGAACTTTACATCCAAACTAGAGCTCGGCATCCTCACCAGATGGAACCGCGACATCTCCTCTCTCCCCGTCCTTAGGCTTGGCGGCGTCCGCTTTCCGCCTCCGCCACTGCCATGGAAACGAGGGACCCCCCTGAAGCGGGGTTTGGTGCGCCCGCGACGGCCGTAGCTCGGCCGATCCGTCGTGCGCGTAGTACGGCCGCAGGGTGGGCTCGGTGCGCCACTCCTGCATGGCCAGGTACGTGTGCGGCAGCAGCAGCGGGAACCGCGACGTGAAGTAGCCGACAAACTCCTCTGGGATTGTGCCCAGCTCGGACTGCAGTGCTTCCGGCAGCTCCCGGTAATGGTGCTTCTGCAAAATGAAAGGTCACATGCACTTAGTGAACATTAGGCCCCCCTCGATAGTTGCATTTTCATGAAGGTGAAATGCTCGAGGCGCCGTACAGTGCCGTGTCTGCACGTTAATGTAGTGCTAACACCAATTTTACTTCACTGTGCAAATCTCCTGCATACGGTGACGACCTTGAGCTAGGGAAACTGAAAAAGTATTGTTGAGATATTTTACTGTGACATTAAAGCCAGCTTTGAAATGGAGTATTTATTGAGACAAGCGTGATGCTAAAAACCACCGTGTGGGAACCCCGAGGCATGCAATCAATTTGTGCTTCGTCTAGCTTCCCGAACATCTTTCCATGGCAAAAATGATGCTTTTAGTATTGTGGAAGCGCGATTCGCTGATTCGCTCTAACAACAATATAACAAACACGATTACAACAAAATATCGCTTATAACAAAGTAAAAGAAAAATGGCCTTGCAATAGATACAGTGCTAAGAATAACCTTTATAACAAATTTTCAGATATCACAAACTTATTTTGCTGTAAGATGCAAGTTTGTTATAATGAGGTTTGAGTGTAGTACAAGAGACAAAGCCTTGCTCTTTGGTGTACATTTATTCCGAACACTAATACCTTAAAATTTCAGTTAAAAGTCAAAATATTCATTTTTTGTTTCATTTTTCATCTCTCATCTTAAAACATCTTTTTATCGCTTATCTTAAAAAAGAAACAAAAAGGGGAGGGGGGGTTCACCTTATTGCGCATAGCCCTCAGCAGGTCCCGAACAGAATGACCCTTGTAAGTCCGGTACTTGCGTAGATCTGCGCAAACGCAACGATGCAGAAACTAACGTAAAAATGCGACCAACAAGAACACTGGTAAGCGACAAGAAGCAACTGCACAGCGTTCTGAAGTTGTCAATAAGAAATAGTACACTAAAAATTAAATGTAAATAGAATAAAACAGAGGCTCTGCAAAAGAAACTCTAGCCAACTCAGACTGGCAATACCAAACTGGAAAATGCACTATGGCATTGTGTACCAAGAATGAACTGTCCCCCCAGTTCCATGATTATGTGCAAGGACACCAAGAAGAAACTGGTGATTTTTCAACAAAAAATAAATAAATAAAAGAAATCCTGGCAGAACTAATCTTAAGATCACTAATGAAATTGTCGACGATATCATTCAAGCAATGTAGCGGTACATCGCACTGCCAGCGCCACAATGGACCACGTGTAAGCATAGGCGTTCACAGGGTTCTCCTTCGGGGTCACGCGCAGAATTGAAAGCAGATAGAAACATGCCCCGCGTTCCTCACGCACAAAACGTACTCACAGGTACGGGTGCACGTGAATAAGCGTCTCATTTGTTACTTTGCCGTGTCTGAAAAGCGCGCGCTTTTCGGAAACGGAGACTGCGATGATTGCATGACCTTTGTGCACCAGGTAACTACAGCAGAATCATTCCAGGTAAAGCCCGAGGCCAGCCAAGTTGTACGGCCTTCTCCTCCTCGTCACCACGAAATAAGGGCGCGCAAGGGAGCGTCGCGCCTTTATCTCGCTGGGCGAAGTAGGCGTAGGAGATTAGAGCGGGTGCTGCCGCGCGATGTGGCGACGTGCGCTCTTTGCGCCATCTTGCTGGTAAGGCTGAAAACACAATTCCCTCCGAGATACTCATGAGCAGCGGTAAGTGGTAGGTACAAGTAGCTTGCCGTTTGAACGGCGAAGGATGTGCTCCGGGGTGGCTCAGTGGTTAACGACTCACACGACGCAGAGGTCCCACGTTCGATTCCGCGCGCCTGAGTGTTTTTCTCTGGATTTTTTTCTTCCTTGCGTTTTCATATATATAGATACGTATACATATACGGTGCATGATATCTACGCCGACGCCGGTGGCAAAATCCAGGCGAAAGTGTCCATATAGTTGCTATAGCAATAAAATGTTCACTGTATGTGAACTCAGTCTCAAAGGGTAGCATAGCTATTTAAGTCGTAAGTGCACTGAAATACGCTCGTTACAGCTGATATATCATCATATATGGGGTCGTTAAAGGTGGGTTGGACTGTATTTGCACTCAAACGAGATAAAATGTTTTGTATTTTATCCCAGATGCATACACCTTCAAGAAAATTGGGAGTAATGTTGACAGAAATGCTGGAAACACTACATTTGTTTCGGTACGTATATTTACACCGATTGTCAAACCCACAGCAAGTCGTCGCCGAGCTCTTCGAATTCTTGCTACCACGTAGATCACAATGTTTTTTACGTTATCGGGTGAGCACAGGTTTTGCGTTCAGTACCCTTGGTGTGGATGGGTCGCACAACAGTTCGCATGTAGTGCCACCATGACTACCGGCGCCGACGAAGATGAAAGAAATACCGCGTTAACCTCTGCTATTAATTTCGGCAGTGTTCAAGTAGAATGGGGAGCACAACAATAAGAAGCTAACGAGTAGCAAAGATGTAGCCTAAGCACCACTGCGCGCACGGATATGATGACTGGCAGGGGCTCAGAGAAATGTTTTCGAAATGGCGACACGGTGGCTTTGGTGAGGCATGATGTGTAGAGTACGTACACTTGTACATGTATTTCCTTTTCGTTAAGCACACATTATGAGCAGATTACGCATTCAAAGAACTTTTAATACTGATAAAGTTTACTGCTGTGATTACTGTGGCTGCTTTGTTCTTGCAGTTTTCCCGTAACTACAGGTTGCTGGGGATGACAGTATTCCCTTTCGTCGCTAAGGAAGATCGCAGAACTCCCTTTGCAAGAAGCTTCGTTCAACTTCCTTGACGTGAGAGAGACTGTGTGACACAGAACATACTTTCGCGTCCTAAAGATGCAGGTGTTAAACGAAGTTTGCGGGTACACGTGTGACAGGGGTATAATATCTCCTCCACGTTACCTTTCTGCAGCTCCTCGGTGATGTGTTCCCGCCAATCACCACGCACCACTTCAAAGCCGCCACGTTCGAGACGTCGCACCACCTCGCTCTCTGGAGGCTCTTTCTCAATTCTGTCACTCACATCCTTCAAGAAGAAAAAATGACAAAAATGAGGACCATGGCTGCCCTTCATTAGGCAAACCCATCTGAAGAATTAACAAAAGTCATCAAACGCTGTAAGAGACGAAAAAAATTCTTGAATGAGGCGTGTTGGTGTAGCCAACCCTTCAACAAGTGGTCTAGTCTCCTTCAATATTACACAGCCTTGAGGAAGACAAGACTGCTTGTTGTAACATTGGCTTCCGCAACACGCCTCGTTCAAGAATTTTTTGTTCCCTTACATTTCTGGCTTACTTGAATCAACACTGACAGTGTTGTCAAAGTAATAATGCACCAGATAAATGTTTGCACAAGCAGCTTAGCTATGTGAAATGAAATAAAACTGAGTATGTGACTGAACGAAAGGTGAAAAGGGGAAAGCAAAGCAGCCTCTACTTCTTGCACTCTTCCTGAGGACTATACAAATACAAAACTTCTTTTTTGTGAGACGGCTCCTGTTGCCCAATAAAAAGGCATCATTAGGAACGAAATTCTGCATCTGAGCAAAAAGACGTTCAAATGATGTCTCCGATTTCTAAATTTTTAAATCCTTAACAAGTGATTAAATGTGTAACACAGATAAATACTCATCTCAGTTCTTACACACAACCATGGTTTACTCGACAGACAACTACGCGTCACTCTCGCGTTGCTCTTTATCGGGTGATGCAGATAGGCCATACGAAATTTTTCTCAGCGGCAAAAAGCCTGCCATCATGTATTTATGTGCTAAATTTTGACCACAAACGAAAAAAACACCGCAAGTGCAAAAACGAGAATGGAGTCCGAGGTACCTGGAAGAAGTCCAGCTGCCTCTTTGGGCCCCAGAAGACGGGATGCATTACCACCGCCGAGACGGAGGGACGCTCCTGGGGATCCGTGTGCAGCATCTGCTCGATCAGGGATTGGCCGAGGGGACCTGGAGTGGACAAAGGTCGCGCCATTTATACACCGTATTCACTCGTGTAAAGCTTTACCCTAAGCTACACAAAAGGGCACTGATAATGTGAACGTTGGTGCATAAGAAAAGACAAGTGCCCCTGGACGTGTGCCCTTTTGCAAATGCGGTCATAACAATGATAGCCAAGTTATGCTGCATTCGTTCTGTAATTATATACTTCATATTTTACTTTGTCAAATTATGTCATATACAAAGAGCTGTCTCAGTCCAAGGTTTTTTGCCACATCGGCTTGTTTTGTTGTATATTCTCTAGCGCAGCATCAATTTACATCTCCCATATGTTACTGTAACATTTCTTTTTCTCAATTTCAATATTGTATAGTACATTTGTACCCTTCCTTTTGTTGTCTCATTGTACGTGCTTCAACATTTTACAGCATCACCCATTTATGCAATGACTTTGTGTTATGCACGACGCTTACTAAGAAAGGGTTAAATAATGAGCAACAATTTTGCTACAAACCAGTCAATGTACTGAGTTGAGAAACGTTCACATTTGACCTTTTTACAACAAAGGCCAAAGGTTTGATACAAGAACACTGTGTAAGAGAAAAAAAAAAGTCACATCATTGCCGCAAAGGCGAAGCAATGAATGCGATAGCAACAAATTGGAATGTCACGCGAAGAATGGCAAGCAGATCAAAATGTGCCTCACGTTGCTCAGGCACAAACAACACACGAAACATACTCACAAGTACAAATGAATGTGAATAAGTGTCTCAGTTGTTACTTTGCTGTGTTTGAAAAGCTCACCCGTAACGAGTGCAGTGACCTTTGTGCACCCGCTAACTACAACAGAATCGTTCCCGTGAAAGCCCAAAGCCTACGGTTCTTCTAACCACGAGATAAGCGCGCGCTCTCATGAGCATCTATCCCCCTAGCCCCCCTCTCTTGCGACCCTAAGCACACGTGAGAGATGAACGCATCAGTGCGCGTCGCCACATCAGTGCGCGTCGCCACATCATGACGCTCTGGCGACGCGCGCTCATTGCGCCATCTTGCTGGTAATGCTGAAAGTATAAAAGTTCCCCCGAGATTGCCATCGCCAGCGGTAAGTGGTAGACATAAATAGTTTGCCATTTCAACATTCAAGGAGGTGCTCCTTCGTGGCTCAGTGGCTAATGCTACCCATTCACAAGCAAGAGGTCGGATATTGGGTTCTGCGCGCTGGAGCCTTTTTCTGGATTATTTTTCTTTCTTGCGCTTTCATTTATATAGATACGTATACATATACGGTGAATTACGGCGGTTGCCAACATCGACGCCGGCAGCAAAGTCTAGCCGAGAGTCTATATAATTGCTATTGTAATAAAAATGGCTCGCTTTAACTCTTCCTGCAGTGTGATGTTCGACTACTATTCTAGAAAGGTAATTGGAGGCGACCGTAATTCCTGACATAGGTGCCTGATAAAGGAACTTGAACTTTGGAGTTCCACGTGCCTTGGTGTACTCCTTGAGTTAACCTCGCATTCCCTCGTAACTGCCAAAGTGGATCTCAGAGGCCATGTCAAAATAAGCACGTGGTTGAGATCGCCTCCACCAGGTGCCACAAGAAGTCAAGCTGGTTACAGGAAATGCATCGGCTCTTTCAATCAGCTCATTCAATGAGTTTTCATCAATTGCCTGAGCATGAACTAGTCCTTATCTTAAGTAAACTTATGCTCAGACATCAAGTGTATCCACTCGAACCAGAACCATCGACTTCATATTAGTTTTAATTTTCAAAACACAATTTTTTAATATTCGGGCAACTGGAAGTAGGTGTTTTACCGGCACTGCTTGAGAGAAAAACAAACAGTCTCACTCAGTGCTCATTCAAACTATGAACGTCTGAACGTGCCCTGAATAAAACTGCGAAACCTTGGCGGTTTCAACGGTGCCGCAGCGGTCGCCCATAACGCACCGTTTGTCCCGACTTCCAAGAGGTTGTGTCGGCCATGCTTGATGTTGGCCTGCCGTTCCAGGGTGTCGCCGAACGGATGTCGACCCCCACTCAGCACGTAGTAGAAGACACAGCCCAGTGAGAACACGTCCACGGCTTTTGTCTGCGCAAATACGATAAAGAAGCTGCGATTAATACAAATGCAGCGTAGTACATACCGTAATACTAGATACGATTGATTATTTCTTAAATGCAATGTAATATCTACTAACAATCCACCCTTAATTAATACTCAAGAGATGAGACCAGTACATGACAGTTGTTTTGTCATGACATGCAGTCAAGACTTAACCTGAAGTTTATGGCAATTAAAATTGAAACGGTTAACACCACTAGCTGCCTTGGTGAGACTGAAACGGTAAGATACAGTTGCAACTTCTCTTATGGCACTTCTTAAACTTGAGAATTGTGAACTTATATTTTGCTACTATTCCACTGCAGAAAATACAAATTCCTTATCAAGTGCAATTACATGACACAGAGGATCGCTAGGGCATTTAGGCATTCATAGTAGAAAATCAAAGAGCACAAAGAGGTTTCATACAATAACGGTTTCATACAATAATGAGTGGGCAATGTACGGGGGTTAATGATTCCCAGGAGCTTCGCCCACTGATCATTCACATTGTGGATATGCTGTGATTTTTTTACACGGCTCCTCATACATTTCGCAACACTGCAGTTGCCATGCTTGCGTACAATTTAGAAACCTTCATTGCACTGCATCTGTGATCTGATTAGATAGGATATTCTTTTGTGGCAGAAACAGCAACCTAAGAAAATTCCAAAGGTGCATTATTTCACACTGAGCAATAATGTTCCAAGAGTTGTTCAATAGCAAAAACTGATCATTCTGAAAAACAAACGCTTTGTGTGTGTCAATCATTCGGCCATGAGCCTCTATGCAGAAAAATACAGTTGCTATGTTAATCGTGAACGTTCACCAAACGAAGCTTCAGTAAACCAATGTTTAAACTTATTTTCACAACACTCAAACCTCATTAAAATGAAGTTACATCTGATATGAAAACAGCTTCCTTATATCAGAAAATTCATATTTAAAAATATATTTGTTACACTGTATGTATAACAAGACTATCCTTCGTTTACTATTCATCAATAATATTTCATTATATAGTTGAAATTCGATCTTACAAAACCTGATTTTACCAATTTCTCGATCTAACCAAGAAGCTTCCTTTTCTCGGCAAATGTCCATAATGTTCAGTGTTGCCATCATCCTGAATTCACAAATTAACAAACCAACTCACAAAGCGGATTTCACAAAAAATTTTCCTAAAATTGCCGATTAAAAATGTGATTACTATTTTTCTAATGTTGACAGAGATGAGGCGTTCTTAGTGAGTGCACTCTATTGCGGTCTTGTGAGAACATTTAGGTGCCCTAGTCACACATTTAGCTTCAATTTGAAGAGACTGCATGCTGTGCCTACACACGAAACAATGGACTCTGCAGTTGGTCCCGCTCTTCCGTGCCAGACGGTGCCAGAGGCGGCTGTGGTTGCTTGCGTTATTTCCTGGTTTATATAACAAATGGCGTCAATTGTCTCCTCCAACTGTGTCTCTCGGCCTACTCGCACAGTCACTTTATTCGTTCTCTGCATCTACGCATATAAGTAGCCTGTTACAGCTCCGTACGTCCATCTGCCCGGCCGCACCGCCCAGACGCTGGGCACCTTATGTTCCGGGTACGGAAGCCTCCATGCCCAAATTAGCCTCGGGCCGCTCTCGCAGACTTTTTGCACACACAGGCATGGGTTGGCCACAAAAACAATGCCGTAGCAGCTCGTGAATATCGTTGCATTTCAATACTCAAATCATTATAACAAAGTTGCATCTTACAAGAAAATAAGTTCATTACGTCTCAAAATTTGTGATAAAGATTACTTCCAACACTGTCTCTATGACAAGGCTGTTTCGCTTACTTCGTTAGAACCAATATTTCACGTTCGTTACATTGAGGTTTGAATTGATAGACTCTGAAGGACCTAAATACCTCTCTCTCGATTTCACGAACTTCCCAATTCAGTGATTTTATTCGGGTGTGGTCATCACTTAGGTAAATCGGGTTACCTCTGCATCGAGGTTCGAGTGCATCGTCAACTGGATCGTCCGCATTAAAACCATAGTTCAAGTCAAAAGAAAACGCTGCTCACCGCTCGCCCCTGTCCCGAGAGCATCTCAGGTGCAATCCAACCGTCGGTGCCAGTGACGCCGGACTTTCGTGAGAACGACAGCCGCCCATGGCTCAGCTTCTTGCAGAGGCCAAAGTCCGAGATCATGGCCTTGGCCTCACCGGCGGCGTTCCGTCGCGAGATGAGTACGTTGTGCGGCTTGACGTCTCGGTGCACTGCGCGTGTGGCGAATCGGTGCTTTCGTCAGGTCACTCAAATTCAATCTGATGTTTATTGGCACAGCCTAATGTTCCTTACATTAATGCAGGATAGTTGACGCATATAGCTGTTTGTGCTGAAAAATAAAACTGGCTCATTTCTCATCAAGTTTATGAAAAAGATGCTGTAGAGAACATTTGCACTACTGCAATAGATAATGAAAGAAATGAATAGACACTCTATTAATAAAGTTACAATGCCACGACTATGCAAAGCACGAACACGGTTACATACTTATCCGGTAGAAAGAGAAAGAGAACAAGACGAGTATTTATTGAAAACGCTCGCTAGACAAAGTACAAGTCTACATTTGGAACCCCCATGCCGACGGCTTTTGGCATTGAAGTAGTGACCTTCAAGACTGAAACCTTCTTCAGAATTCTTGGTACTAAGCAAATGCATGAAAACACAGTGTGTACAACCCTGAAGGCCATTCTCAACATAACTGATCATTATGTGTGCTAAGCCAGTGGTTTCACGCAGCTTAATTACTCCTGTTTATATTTTGTGCTGAACCACAATGAAGAATCTTCTGCCATCATTTCTGTCACGGAAGTTACGTCAATAACTCATTTCCATCACTTCCGTGACAGACATGACGCTGGCAAAAAGATACATCTGCACAAGATTGTCTTTGAACACACTTCCACATGCGCTTTCTTGATTCACTCTTGATCTCAACTTCACTTCCCCTTAAAGCCTTCACAAGAAATGCCTCTCACTGAAGTATGATCACAAGTGATTCCGGAAATAATTGGCATCATGCCTTTTCACAAAAACAACACATTCTCTGATTGTGCACACCAAAGCAACAAGCAAAAGATGAACAGGTGAAGTAGATTTGCTGTATGTATACCTTAAAAGAAGCACATTGAATGTGCTGCCATATCGGGAATAGACCATATCGGGAATCAATAATGTCGTGTTTCCCTTTCATCCCACAACTGATTCCTATGCATCCTTTTCTTTCTTATTCCACTGCCACTGTTCCCTGCAACGCCAGCAGGGTCTTACAGTAAATGAATAAAAAAAAAGAAAAAGTTCCACCTCAAGGGCAAAGCAACAAATGCGATAGAAAGAAATTAGAATTATACGATGTAAGGCTGGAATCTAACTACTCAACGATCTGATCTCGCGTAACATTATCAAACGCTGGTATAAGAAAATATGGATGCTCCGCTGAGCGAAGTGGTTTTCGTGCTATCTTTGGCCTCAACAAGGGGTGAAAGTGTGACAGCACAGCAAGTACAAGGGCAGGAGCCATTCACTGGTGTCATTCAAGAAAGTGAGTATTACTGCACAAAGGATCAAAGTTTGCCGTCACTGCACGAGCGATGTGCAGCCACTTCCCCACTGGCAACCCTTCACGCTTCTTTGCCCAACTAAGCTTACCAGTGCATTTGACCTCTACTTGCAGCCTTCACCAGCTTTCGCTCACACACAGAACACACAAAACATTTGGGCTTAACACAGAGTGTGACGGCGAAGGCAAACAAGCACTTCTGCTGTCATAAAATTGTTATCACAATAAACGAACTCACCAATGTCAAGCGAGTGCAAGTGGTGCAGTCCAGAGGAGGCCTGGTGGAGCAGGGTGGCCGGCTCCAGGTGGCCCCAGTCGTCTGAGTCCGGACGCTCCACGTAGTCCTGCAGGGTGGCCTCGCACAGCTCCAGGGCAATGTAGCAGAACTGGCGGTCTTCCTCCTGCCATACGAGATACACATGCATGCCAAAAACAGAATCAACGTGTTCACACAGCACAACTGAAACGAGAACAGAGGAGAGGACACAGCACATGTGCTGTGTTGTGTCTTCACCTCTGTTCTTTCATTCGCGCTGTGCTAACATGTTGATACTGAATCACAAATTACCAAATGCTAAATGCCAACATTCTATCATAAAACAGAAGCTGAAGACGGCATGCATAGAGTTATACATGTGAAACACTGGTAGGGTAGGATTATGACAGAGGAGACACCGGTGCAAACATTTGTCGTTTTTTTTTCTCAATGGCATTAAGGCAGTAAATGCGAAAGGAATACAATTGCATTAAGTCCAATTAGCACAAACCATGTTCCATCACCCTCATAAACAGTACTGTCAACAACTTGGCAACATTAGCCACTGGTAATTACACGAGTGAATATAGTATAATGTTTGCAACACGCTGTAGACACACACCGTTTTTTTTTTTCTTATTTTCATTTTTCCCCCTCTTAATGCATGCTGTAATGTACATGCCTAATTAAGAACAAGAATAATAAAATATTTGGGGTTTTACATGCCGAAACCACGAGATGATTATAAGTCACGTTGTAGTGTAGCGCTCCGCCACCAGTGCCCCTATCGGGTCAGCAGCCGAGACATGCAATCTATCGAACACCAACAAAACCGGACAGAATACATGTAGGCACGCACCATGCAGAAGTAGCGGACCACGTTGGGGTGCTCGTCAGACTCGCGCAGCAGGTCGACTTCGCGGCTTGCCAGACTGATGCAGTCCGGCAGAATGCGCTTAACTGCCACTGGGCGCTTCTCGAATGTGCCCCTGCAAAATGAATTGTAAGTGCTTATAGATGTGATTGTGGAACAAATAAAGAGTGAAGGAGATCCTCATAAACACCTTACACAAGCACAAAGAACTATTAGCTCCATCCATACCACACTATTATTCCAATGAATGTACAAACAGCACAAGAAACAAAGACCAGCAAAGAACACACATGTATGCATACGCAAACCTACAGGCTCGTAAACGCAAGGTTCTGCACTCTGAACAGTGCTGTGTGCGTTCTTTGCAAGTCTGCCTTGCCCTGCTTGTACATATGTTATGACCAACCAAAATGTGCACAACTTTCATCACTTCACGTTGCCCCAGGTCCTGAAGTGAGCTGAAAAAGTGTGAACCAGACAAAGACAAAAAAAGCCTCTTTCATTCATCTTTCACTTGCGCTTTTTAAGCATGTTTATAAATTATCAACATGCACGAGAATTCACTGCACCATGTCCCGAACAACAAATGGCCTAACAGTTTTCTTTGTCGAAAGCCTCTTTTGCCAAAACATCCGTTTCTCAATACAAATGAACGTTTTGCAATTTCGTGCAGACTTACGACAGAGAGAAAGACAATGTAACCCAAAGATGTCAGTCAGCTTTAGAGAAAGCCTGACATGACAATATAGATGGTTAGCCTCAGCTAGCAGTCAAATCTAAAACTGTCAGTTCGAGCATATGGGATATGTGAGTTAAAGCATGACACACATTCTAGGATTTTACAGCCTAGCAACTACACACTAGCTTGAAAAACAAATCCATGGACCAAAAGCAACAGTTGCCATCTTGCCACTGGCCACTGTGGCAGCACACCTCTCATACCTTCTGCTTGTCGTTTACGGAAGTGTGCCGTAATTACTTGAATCTAACGCGCACCTTTTTTCCGGTTAAGCGAGTTCATAAATCGCATGCGCGTTAGAATAGAGTACGAAAAAAAAATGAATACGGTCATTCTATTGCCATAGGCATTTCCAAAATGGCCGCCCCCTAAGTGCGTCGGCATGGCGCGTCGGCCATTTCTGCCTATGTGTTTCCCATGAGCGGCACTTCGTACGTGTGCTGAGGAGTTCGTCATCTTGTAGTGCATTAGCATCGAGGGCATGGAAGGGCCGACTTTAAAAACTCGACGAGTGCACCACGATGCCGCTTTTAAAAGTCATCGCGTGTGCCGAAACGGACGGAAATTGGGCCGCATCGCGGTCGTTCGGAGTTCCCGAAACGTGCGTGCAGGACTGGCGGAAACAAAAGCAGAAGATTGTCGACAGCAAACATTCACGCAAAGGCTTCAGTAGACCACAGCAGGGTCGGTTCCCGCAAATAAAGAGCTGCTCGGCGAGTATGTGCTTGAGCAGCGAGCGGCACAGCGGCCCGTGACGACAGAACCTCCAAGTGCAGGCTATGCAGTTAGCCTTAGAAAAAGGGCTAATGCGGAGCCAGTTTAAAGCGAGCACATGCTGGCTAACTAACTTTATAAAGAGGAAAGGCTTTTCCCTCAGAAGGCGAACGGGCATATGCAAAAAGTTTTGCGGAGGAGTACGATGAAAAGCTTCACAGTTTTCAGAGGTTCGTCCTAAACTTGTGGCACAACAACGGCTACCTGCTTGGGCAAATCGGGAATGCCGATCAGACGCCTCTTTACTTTGACATGCCTGGCACCACAACCGTCGAGAAGAAGGGGGCGAAGCAAGTTCGCGTGCTGACATCGGTCCACGGTAAAACTACAGTGACGGCAATGCTCTGTTACACGTCAGATGGGTACAAGCTTCCCCCGTACCTCATATTTAAATGGAAGACGCTCCCGAAAGGAGTCGTTTTTCGAGTGCTGTGATCGTGCGAGCCAGCGAGAAAAATGGGTGCACGTTGCAATCGATGTCTTACTTCTTTTTTTTCGTCATGGAAATCGGGTGCGCGTTACAATCGAGGGCGCGGTAGAATCGAGTAAATACGGTACTTGGTGGTGTAATAAGAGCCCCCACCGCCGGAAAACACGCAGAGCCGACACAGAGAATCGCACAGATTAGAAAAATTGGCGGCTTTGAACGAATTTGATGCCAGACACACCTTTTGCCATCCACTCCTTGAAGGGCCATGAGGATGGTGACAAACTCTAGAAAGAAAATTTAGTGCCGATTCTGCTCGAAAACTGCGCTTCAAAGGCTGCAGCTAATGACAAAGCTTTACCTTTACGCATGCCTTGGAGGACTTGCAAAGACAATTTCGCACCTGTTAGCTCCGCAGGTCAACCGGCTTCATTCAGGTAGCGGTATGGTCTCGTTTTTTTTGTTTTTTTTTTTCTTCCTCTCTGGCCAGCTCCAGCTGTTCGCAACATCTTGGCATTCAAAATTTGCATAAAATAACAGTGCTACTTTTTTTCACAGACTATGATCTGTGCGCATCCCTCCTGACCGACTGCCCTCAGCATGAAGACCATGAGCAGACAAAATTAAGGAGAAAGACGATGAAGACAGGGCACTCACTTGAACACGAAAGTACCATTACAGCCACGGCCAATCACGTCTTGCGTGTCGAAGCTGATCTTGCCCACGTGACAGACGCCGTCTTCTGTAACCTCTGCAAGGAAACAGGATGCACAAGAGGAGGTGGTGATGCAATAGTTATCATCGTGTTTTCGGCACCAAGCGCTGCACGAGAAATAATAATTGCCTTGTAAGAACCGAAACAGCTGACGCATTTTTCCAGAAAACTCAATGAAGAGTGCTTCTTCAACATTATGTAGTGGTCTTTGGCACAAATTCACATGGTGCCCGACCACTGAGCCACGCAACAAACACAAAAAGAACAGAGAAAGTTTGACAATTTTTATTGCTGCTGATGCGATCTGCTTAACGAACTTGCTTATAAATTGATATATTTATTCCGATATATTGCAGACTTGAGCCTCTTGTGACAGAAGCTTAAGAACAGGTTTACATGGAATTAAGCTTAGAAGACAAATAGACACGAAGTTGATTCGAAATTTAATACCTGACCTAAATTTCACAAAATGAGGCCTACTTCAAAGACTCCTGTAATTTAAAGAAACAGACTCAAATTGATAAGTGCTGCAATTTGCTTGATAAGTGCTGAGCAAACCTTGATGCGAGTTCCAGTAACCACTGGTCACTGAGACTCGCATCAAGGTTTGTTGAAAACATCTCAATTTCTTCGAATGAGGCTGTCGTTGGGTCAGGTATTCAAATTTAACTATGGTTGTGAAGTGCTGAGGTTCAGCACTTATCTCTTTGAGTCTGTTTTCCTGCTGTACATTTGATGAAAAGCTGCTGAACAGGAAATGCCACTGAAAACAAAGTTTGATCCTCATCCTTCATTGACCCTTAAGGACATTTAACAATGTGTTAAAGGGGGGGGGAGGAGAGATAAACAGTGTTGAAATTTTATATAGTGGAGTGAACGCTCCAAATTTCTAACTTTATTCAAATAGTGTTTGCTATTCAATTCGATCGGCAATGAAATTTTACTATTCAAACTTCCCAAAGACCAATACAGTCAACATCCGTTTGACTGTAACCCCTTCAAATTTTTAATGTGCTTCACCTTATTATACCTTCGTACCGTGACGAAGCTGCCTTTCAGGCTCTGCCACGGTCTCAAATGTATTCAATCGAGAGAACACTCGTTCCAGCACAGAGCCGACAGATTCGGCAGATGTGGGGTCTAAGTTAATGTTGTTTTGAACCTATAATTTGGGCAGAAAGTCCGAAATAAGGCACCAAAAATATTTAGCATTCAAATTTCAGATGTTCTTATATATTCATGTCTATGAGGCACATTTGGAACTCCAGACTCAAAAGGAGCACACCGTTGTCCACGATATCAGTTCGGTTTCCTGAGAAGTTCAAAGAGGAGGACAGACTGAGACAAGGTCTTCTTTGCCTTTTACGTGTAAGTGTTGTTGACAACGCTTTGGTTGGAACAAATCATGTACATAAAATGATGTGGCCTCTGCATTGCTTCATTGTTGATAGGACAACTATGAAAGACCACCCTTCCAGCGCTTTACCAACCTAGCCATGTTGCTGTCTCGTAAGAATACGCTCAGGAACCCTCTCCCACTTTTTTCAGCAATATTGGTTTGAAGTATCGTCCGAGGCCTATTCTGGGAAAATTCGAGAAATATTCGAAAAATATTCTAATCGATTGGCATTCACACTTCAATATTAGACTTTGCTCTGCACTCAAATATAAACTTTCAAACAGCTCTACTTTTAAAGGGCCCCTAAATATCCCCCTCCGATATCTTTTTTTTTTTTTTTTTTCAAACTCAAACATTTCAAGTAAAAATTCTGCCGACTTCATGTTCGTCGTACAATCGTGCACCATTTTCCCACCACAACTGAATTTCGACCTCTGGGTGATTTGGGGGCCCTTCAACAAAGAACCAACTGCGTAACAAGTAAAGAGCACACAAGAGAAAAGATTTCAGCATCTGTTTATACCAAAAAGTAGAAAGGGGTAGAACACATGGATGGAAGGGGGCAAATAATTTTTTTTAAGAGATAACGAAGGAAGAGAATTGCTGTAGCAAAAGAGTAATACTAAACCAGTCCCTCTAAAGGTCTTGCCTCTGTTAGGGTTGCCATGACAAAGACAAATATTCTTGCTCAAACATTGTCTCCAAAAACATTTTCTCTTATAAGTAGACTCTCAGTAAATGAAAATCTGTTAAACAGAACTGGTGGTTAAATGAAACAAGTGCTTCTGACAAGATTAGTTTCATATTTGGATTCTGAACCCTTGCTCATCTCTGAGTAAATAAAACACCTGTTAAATGGAAAACATTTTCCTGGTCCCTCCAGGTTCTGTTTGACGAGCCTACTGTACTATTTTTCGTTACATAAGAAACTCTTATCTTTCTCTGAACTTTTGTCTAGCTTGGATTTATATCTTACATGTGGTTATACAAAAGACAGATGTCCCAAAAGCCATAAAAAAATTTATTAATTGCCGTAAATGTAACAATAATAATAAATGCAATAACAGGAGAGTGAAGGCTCACCAAGAATTTGACTGCCACCACTGACCCTCAAGTTCCCACTTCGTGATGAGCGCTGGTACTCTCTCGCCTGGAAAGGGACGCAGCATTTGGAAAAGTTATTGCCTGTAGTTTAGCTCCCAGTGTGAAGCTGGGAATGGAGAATTCATTTGCTCACTCCCTAACTTGCTAGTCAATCAGTGATAAATTGACCCCGAGTGATTTTACTCATTCGGTCATGCATTCACTTGCTTTCTCATTCCTTCATTCACCCCTCACTTGTCTATTCACTTAATTGCTCACTTGTACAATCACTTGTACAATAGTGTTCATTCATTGATTCTACCACTAATCCATCTACCTATTCACTTGTTCACCCACTCAATGCATTCATCCTTTCAATTGCTACTTTATCATTAACTTATCCCTTCACCTATTAATTCACTCACTCCATTCATTCATCTTTTCAATCACTCATCCATCTATTCACTTATTCATTTCACTATTAATTCACTCGCACCCCATTCATTCGTCTTTTCAATCAATAATCCATCTGTTCATTTATCCCCCTTCACCAATAAATTCACTCATTCACTCAACCATTTATTCACCCGTGCACTCTTTCTCATAGCAGTACTCAAGGGCATTCCAGCACACAATATTCACCACAGCTTCCTTCTCGAAGCACAAATGCAGACAGCCTACAGCAACACAAACTTCCAATTTGGAAACAGGCTTTCGGCCAGCCTCTTTTTCACTCGCCTGTGGATAAAGGTAGGCCACGGCCCCCGCCATGCTTCCCAGGAGAATCACCAGTGCCACCTGGGGCCAGGTCACCTGGCCCAGGGTGGACAGTAGGGTGTCTTCCGGCGGGTGCTGTGTTGACACGTCGACGCGCCGGTGCTGCTGCCGTGGGGTGCGGGGACCCCTCACCCTGACACCCTCCCTGCCACCCCACTCGTCTCTCTTGCGGTTGAAGAAGGGAAGGGGCCTCCAGCTCTTGCCATCGTCCCCGATCTCCCACTCCAGTCCTCCTCGTCCAAGATCGTCCGAGTCTTTGGTCGAAATGACCTGTAGTCCGGAATGCAGCGGCAATCCTCTATACCACACACCTTGGAGACTTATGGAAGGGTCTTTTTTTCTCCCATGACCAGTAAACTTGACTCAAGCAGACTTTATGACACACACCACATGAAACCCTGTAGAGGCCGCCTGTACTTTTCAGAACAGCTGCTATTGCACAAATAAAATAATTTAATGTCTTTCAACAATTGTCATGCAAAACAGCTCTTAATTTAGGCTTAGAAATGAGTGAATGACGTTTCACTCCTTGAACACTGCAATGCATGCTTACTTATTTTCATGTATTGAATACTGGATGGCACAGATTCGATGCAGTACAAAGAAAGAAAGAACACTGAAGCACACTACAAGCATTCGTCCTGTGTGTCACGATTTTTTCTCGTGTGTCCTGCGTTGATTCCGCGCTATCCTGTATTTAAGACTATGAACCAACTAGCCAGCCTGATTATATACTACGAAATGCAAGTACTCGAGCTTATTCAGTGGCTAATGCAAGCACCAGCGATAACACTGGAAGTTTCTATCATACGCACATAGAATATGACATGTTCCACCACTCGTCAGACTTCAATGACCGACAATAGTGCCCGACACTGTCAATGCCCTCTCTGAATGTTACTTCTTTTTCTGGGCACGAGCTTACCCAATAAACAGTTTAATCATTACTGGCTTGAGTTTTGTGCAGTGTGACCATCACTACCATATGACAACATGAACAGACTGTTGTATAGCCTCCGATAATTTTTTTTATGTCATCATGCTTTTTGTTGTGTTCTTGTTTCGTTTTTTATCGACCCTGCATAAATCTCATGACCACAGCCTTGAGCGTATGCTCTCATGAATACATAATTTTGGAGGCACTGTGGAAAAATGATGAATGCCGTCCACACTAAAACTCTTTAGAGCAAAACAACCGCAAAAATTTAAGGACACTTTGTGAATTGCAAAGTGTGTTTGGTGAAAGACTGAGCCAATTCGACTGACTCTGCCACGTCTTTTTTTTGCTGTTGACGTTTTGTGCAATTGTGGCGTTCAGCATAGCGTTTGATGTCGGGGACGACCAAGATTCTTGGAACACTTCTCCGAACCACTTGCCGTGGAATGATTTGCGAGCGCACCTGCCTTCCTGTGAAAGACACTCACGCTAGCTGGTTTCCGCTCAAGCCGCAAGCACTCTTTGTCGGCAAGCATAAGCACTACGCATATTATTAATTAAAAGGTTTGTTGTCACAGTTGATATTACCTATTATGTTTGGCTGAGCATAGATGTCAGAACACTGAACAAAATTTACCAGGACATTCAAGTTTCCTAAACGAAACCAGCGACACAATTGTGGGTCTGTATCATGACTGGGCATGAACAGATGAATGGGCAGACCGACATGAACTTAAGACATAAAAGGCTTGCGCCTTAAAACATTCAGTGTTTCATTTTTGAAGTGTTCTCACTACGATTGGCGTTCAGAATAGACAGTTGGGCGAGTTGGTGTATATTCATATTCAAATAAAAGCGGCGCACAAAAAAGACGGAGACAAGCAAGCAAGTTGCAAGACTAGAGGAAGCAGGGTTCCCCCCTAACATAATTGTGGCTGTTTGCGATAAGTTAATTGGTGGTTTAAAAGGACATGCACCTAGGAAAATCAATCGGGAAAAAATGAAGTTCGCAGTAATTCCTTATATGCATAAACTGGCACATGGGTTAAAAAATGTTGGTTCCCGCTACGGAGTTGATGTGGTTTTTAGGGCACCCAATAAATTGGGAAAGATATGTGCTTTGGTGTCAAATCAGCTTGACAAGAAGGACAAGCCAGATGTAAAGAAATGTGCCGTAAACCATAGATATAAGTATGTGCCTTGTGCTGTGGGGGTGGTGTACCGCATTCTTTTATCTTGTGGCTTTCATTATGTGGGACAGACGGGCCGCTGTATCAATAAAAGGTTGCGGGAGCACTATCTCTCTTTGCATAACGGCACGCCTTCCCATTTAGCTTCGCATTGTGCCACGTGTGGGTGCACACCTCTTCTGTCTAACACTGTTATTATTTTTAAGCACCACGATCAATTCACCCGTGAGGTGTCTGAAGCCTATCATATTAACAAGTCACGTGATGCTTGCGTAAGCCAGACTTCGGTTACATTGCACAAAAAAGAGTTCCCTTTTATTGATGAGCGTATCACTTAATCTCGTTGTACCTCACTTGTCATGCGCGGCTATTACTTTTTAAATTCTTGTTGCTCGGATTAAACTTTCAGTTGTGAGTGCAGCGCTGTGTGTGGTTCTCTTCTTTGTCTCCGTCTTTTTTGTGCGCCGCTTTTCTTTGAAAGGATTGGCGTTCATTTTCTACAATGCCTCCTCCTGACCAGACAGGATTCCGTTAAACCCTGGATACTTGGGAGGCGGTGGTGGTTGTTGGCACGCAGTAAAACTAGCGGAATCATTTTTTAAGTTTCGATGACCAAACGGCCTGCACAGTTTGCCCAAGAGTGCGCACACCAAGTAAGAAACGAGGTGCTGTGATTCATAAGAATGAACAGCTGCTCCTCAGTTACAATGATGGCAATACAACTGCAAATAGATTTCCACACTGGAAAAGTGAATTCAGCAGGACATTTTCCCATCTTTTCCCCAACTGCTACAAGAATGAGAGGAACGTAACTTTTCCGTGTTCTAAAAAAAGCTAATGTACATTAGTGAGTTTACACTTTCTTTAAGATCATAAATGACAGATGCACGTCAGAGTCAGGGTAAGTGTCGTAATTATTACACAATACAATAAGGTATTGAAATAAAATATACTGTCATCCGCCCTGTAGAAGCATGAACATACAAAAGAAGTTTAGCATAGTAAAGTGAAGCTTTGGGCTAGTTGGTCTTACATATAGAAAAGGAAACGGCAAGATTTTTTTCCATGGGGACAATTTTTACCACTTGCCCCGCGTGAAAAAAAAATGCACTATTTTTCTTTTCAATGTACAAAAGAGATTCATATTAATTTTTTTAATAGATAGCTTTGATATTTAATAATTTATTCACCCTAAATCAGAGGAATAAAAAGGGGTCCAACACCTTTTTTGAGGTTGTTGCTTCACAGCCCAAGCTAAAGGTGGACCCACTTAAAGCAGCCCGAGACCAATTTACGAAACAACTCAACGCAGAAGTGAAAATGAATGTGAATACCATCAGCTGTCATAGCGCTACACTAGCAGACACAGGTGTAAAAGACACAATAGGACGAGTGCTCGTCTCGTCTCTTCCTCATCCGTGCGTGCTAGCGCTGCGGCACCTTTTGATGCATATAACCAAGTAAGTAGCCTAAAAATCCAATTTGTCAAAGTCAATAAACAGTTGTGTAAAAACCTACAGGCTGGCTGGAGCACATTCACCAACATGCAGGGTCCTGCAGAACTTATTCGTCATGATCAGCTCTAGCACTGACCCGTTCCTCGACATGCATTTCTTCCAGGGGAACATCCCGCTGGTCCTGAATATGGCGGCTTGCCGGATCCTCGGACTGCGGTGGACGCCGGTACCCAATCTGGAGCCTCGAGAACAGCACGGCCACCATGGTGTTCGGGTACTCGTAGTAGCCTGGAGGCGCGCAAATGTTGTCAGATAACTCAAAATCACTTTGTGCTACCGACACAACCACAAATGCAAACAATACCCAAACCATCCCACTGGCACAATGTTTGCCGTTTACAGCTTCACGCCCAGTTGTGGCAGTAGCCTAACTCAGACTACAGATCAACCACAGTGTATAAAACTCACAGTGAACGTGGCATCGGAACTGTACAGCTTTGCCATCGATACAATGTTACAAATAATCGTTCATAACGAATTTTCGGATATAACAAGGTATTTCCGTGGCAGATGAGTTTATTGATAAGGAGGTTTGAGTGTACCTGTGATTCTGGAGGAAATGCAAAAGTGCAGAAAGCTGTACAAGAGGGTGCTGGGAATCAATACAATATATTGAGGAGAAAAAAACAAAACATGACTTTCACCTTCGAATCATCACAGGCTATTGCATAAAGAATCTTGTGAATTTTTGTAAATGATGCAGTGTGATTACACATTTACATTTGGCTTATTAACAATCTTGAGCAGGTTATCGATGCTTTGAAGTTGAAGTGACAGCGAAGAATCATCTTTATAGAGGAGGCAGCAGCTCACTAACCGGAGACAAAGGATCGCTTTTTTGCTCCGCTTCCCGACGGCTCAAAGCTATCGGGCGCTGCTCCCGTTGCACGGCCGGCAGGCGCAGTAGGACCTTCCAGAAGAGGTATCCTCCGGTCTCGGGACTGTTGTCACAGTTTACAAGAATACAAAAGAAGAAAATATTAAAAGAAAAAGAATGAGGATTATGAATAGAAGCAAACATGACCTGACCTAGACATTTTCATTGCACAAGCAAATGAACGAAACAGCCAAAGTTGATCTACTAGCCCGGAAATCGGGCTGCTTGCTTTTTCAACTGCTTTATTTGCTCACAACTAACACTACAAAGAAGCGCTCATAATGAATGTCGTCGTACTGAGGGATACGACCTCGTCTGCAGCTATGACTACAACTGGCTAATGAGAACAGATCTTCTCAATGACACTAGCTCTAAAGCTCCACTGAACACAATTGGACGCACTTTGAGAGCAGGACGTGAAGGCGTGAGGTTATTGACCTTAATGCGTTGATAGCGGGGCAACAAAACAGAACTTGCACCATTTACTACTCGCTAAAGGTTTTCAAGATGTACTGTTTCAAAGAGTTTAAAACTGTGCACAAGATGGCAACGAAAGAAGAAAATGCACACCACAAAGCGTGAGTAGCTTGTTGGACATTTTATTGCAGAGGCAGGAATAACAGGTAGAGAAAAAAAAGGCACCCATGGCTGTGGAGGTCATCGTCGGCAGATAAAAACAAATGTGAAATTCCTGGCTTTTGAACAAAACACTCCAAGTTACTAGTGGCGCCTGTCTACCAAGGTCAAGGAAGTGGGTTCGATTCTTGGCTGCAGGTCCCGCACTTGGATCAGAGAGGGGAGGGAGGAGAACATGAAATGTGCCAGTGTGGTGCTTGCTAAAGAACCCTAGAATCAAAATTAATCTAGAGTTCCTCACTACCTTATGTAATAGGGACCCTGCAGTGTTTGAGAGAAAAACTAAAATGAGCCCTCACCATCATCACCGGCATGTTCTTGTCGACCAAGGCGGCCAGAGCATAGCTGGCCTTCGCGTGCTCACCAACGTACAGTGCAGGGCTGGAGGAAAGGAAAAAAAAAGAAAGGTGAGAAAAGTGTGCCTAAAATGGTGCATTTGTTCATTTCGTAGACATCAGTGAAGAACACTTGAGCTACCATACACGAGCGATGCAAGTTACAGTGTCAAGGTCAAATCTTGAATTAATAAACACAAACACCCTGTAATGAATTATTAAATATAACACAAAGAAAATTAAAATACTCCCACCCCTAACGTACTGTAACAAGAGAGCATATATTTAACAAATGTTTAAAATAACGAAGTAATTTCCGTGTCTTCTTACACAAACGCCATGCAACGTAGGAACTTTCAAAACAGGCAGTCGATTGGCAGGCAACTTGCCGATAGAACACGGTCTGTTGGCTTTGTGAGATATTAACATAATTTCTAATTTCAAATTAGGGTTAAGTGAGCTTGAGACAATTTACTACTGTAAAATTTATACATCTGTATTTTTCTAATGACTATTCTTTACCAGCTGTAACCACTGTTCCAAAAGCACTGGGTAACATCTCAACACAAGAGACACTTTCACATATCCAAAACTTTTTTTAATCATGTCAATTTGTCTATGGCAATTAAATACAGTCTAATAAAACTGCACGTGCGATGCAGTCAGTAAAGTACAGTTGTCAGCAAGATTAACACAAACGCTTTGACACGTGGCCTGGACTACTTTGACTGATGCCAGCCGTGTGCTGGGAGCTGTTACCGAGACAATATCTCGATGTGCTTGAATGGTATGTTGGTATGCATGGGTAACATCTCGGCAACAGAATTCTAAGCTACGCAGCGTTGGCGTCAAATCAAACTGTTTCATGTCATGTTGCAGAGTGTTCATATTAAGCTGGCTGACTTTGCAGTACGGTCCACTGTTGAGAACAACACGCGAACGCGTACCTAGCGGCACGCGTGGCGCGAACTAGTGGCGAGATTTGTAAATGTGTGCACGTGCATACAAGCGCAGAGGCAACGCTTGTCAGATTTCGTCAGCTACTTTCCGCCCCTGCACCTGCCGCGCTGTCTCGTTTTACCGCGGAGCGGTTCATGCCGCCAGTGGTCTGCTGGCACCCCGTCAGCTAGTCAGCAGGCACACAAAAGTTCCAGCTTGCTTCTTGCTGTTGTATCTGACCAGTTTTGAAAAGATGCGATTCACACCCACAGCGGTAGAATTTCCAGTAAAGGCAATACACAATGAAAAGCGATAGGGTTATATTTAGAAACATGTTAATAAATGCTTAGTAATAATATTAAATGTTGGGGTTTAACATCACTGAATTGCACCATGATTATGAGCGATGCTCCACAAATTTCAACCACCTAAAATTTATTTCAATGTACACGGGCCTCAAATATTCCCACCTCCATCGATAATGCGGCTACCACGGCCGGGATATGACCTTATGACCTGCAGGCCAGCAGCCGAGCACCATAATTCCTATACCATCGTGGCGAGGCAGGGGCGGCGCCAGGGGGGGGGGGGGGCAAGGGGGGGCTGGAGCCTCCCCAAAATTCTCGCCTGCCCTCCCTATGCCCAACCAAGTGCCCGGAAGCATATATTGAAAACCTAGTAGGAGCAGAGCTAGCTTGCCCCCCTGGAGGAACTCACTTTTCGTGGTTGCCCCCCAGTAAAAACATCCTAGCGCCGCCCCTGTGGCGAGGTAAGAAAACACTTCATGATGAAATCTCTATGAAGTCTCTCAATACGGCGTGATCCTTAATGATGTTCTTTCTCTGGCTTGCTATATCACGGCAGATATTAGCGTTAACGTTTTAAATCGTGTGAGGTTTTGATTATTGAAGCAACATACGATGAAACTCCGTATTTCGAGTATGCGATAACATACACTTTCATGACAAGTACTCCGCTTTCCCAATATGTGCCCGCATGAGAAATGAAGTGTGTAAAACTATATATTAAAGCAAGCGCGAAAAAGAAATTTTTTTCATCCTATTTTTGTGACAAAAGATGAAGCAGGCCAAATGTATGGCCTCTCAACATTAGAAGAATGAAAAAATGGCAGATCCCTTGTACACTGGGAATCGATGATATGCGAAGCACGAATGAGAAAGGTTTTATATGTCACTTTAAAATCAGCACAACGGTACGATGTGGAGGTAAATGATGCCGTACATGTCTTCCGGGTTATCATTATCCTGTTAGGATGTGTTTACTTTCGTCATCTATTCACGTCACGTGATACCAAATTTAGTATATGTGGAGCTAGCAAAACGCCCGCGAGCGCGCTATGAGCATAGTATGTTGTCATGTTCTTACATGACACGCATGTCAGGATTATCATGTTTGCACGAGTCATATATTTTGTCATCCATTGACGTCACATAATACCAAATTTGGTATATGTGAAGCTAGCAAAACGCCCGCGAGAGCATCATGAAGGGCCCATTGTACTCCAATGTAACGTTGACGCTCACGCAAGCAGGTAGGTAGGTAGGTAGCTAGGTGGGGAGGTAGACAGACAGACACACAGACAGATCGATACATAGATACGCTCAATGTAACCAAAGTTCACTAAGAAATGCTTCGCATTTAAAAGCTTCATTCATTAATCGGGTGATGCCAACTCCAGCGTCGAGCACGGCCTTCATCCTTGCAGGCGGGCACCTGTACAGAGCTTCCGTGAAGAATGAATCGTGCTTAAGCCGCTCCCGCTCTTCGTTTACGGAGGCCCAGAGGTCATCCATAGATTTGTCGCGGAGATTTTGGCGAGAGAGAAATGATTTCTTTCTGCCCCACACAATTTCAATTACGTTGAAGTCAGGTGACTGGGGGGAAGGGGGCACATTAGCACCGTCACGGTCTTCAGTGGCCTGCTTACCACGGCAGCGACAGCAGGCTGACTGTATCCTTTAGTGTACAGGTCGACTATGAGAAGCCTTTCATCTTCAAGTGTTCTGGCCATCCCACAGATAAGAACTGCCACCACCGAAAATTCGTTCAGTGAAGAATTATGCCAGCAGCTGTGAAATTCTGTGAAAGCAGCAACAAAGCCCGTCACTTGCGCAACTTACTGTGTCAATACTCACAGAAATGTCGGCCATAAACTTTGCACAACGCTAGAACTAGCCGGCTGCCTTTGATAACAGACAAGGAAATAGGCGCTTCATGCAACAAGCATAGCCGGCTTCTTCCAACCCCTAAAACAAATCAAGACGTTAGCGCACGCCGAACGCTAGGGTGGGGCAGTAGCAGACGACGCAGGGTACGAACTGCCCTTGTGATTCTGTGCGCATGCTCAGCAGTTAACACCCCGCGGACCGCCGAGCCACACGCTCGCGTGTTTCCCCCTAACAGTGGACCCTACTGTACATTACGAAAGACATATAGCACCATTCATTATAGCACTACGTACAAGTCTGCACATAACCCATAGATATTATTTACACAACTGACGATTTTACTCAAAGCTGTCTTTGTCCCCAGAGTGTTATATGTCACTCAGAGCACACAGCAAGATCACCAAATAAAGACCCGTAGTGAATTATGAGTTTTGGGAACAGCCAGTCAGGACAATGCAACACCCCAGGAGTCAGCACTCACTATAGCGTGGTGTGCTGCGACGGTTCCAGCAAGTTCTTGTTCCAAGACGAGCGCTTCAGCCTGCCGGTGATGTCCTCCAGGGTACGGTGCGCCACCGGCGTGAACGGGAGGCGTCGCAGCGTGCCCTCGTCACCGACGTCATAGACAGCAACAACTGGGCTGCCCAGTTCTCGCTCCCACAGGAAGTCGCCTGCATTACGTCACACCTCAATACACGAAGATTCGCTATGGGTGCTTAGTGCTAAAACCTCGAAGCTGCCCTAACCTGAAAAGTACTACAGAAGCGCCCAGTTCCACACAAGTGCCTAGTGTTCACATTTTTTTAAACTTTAGAATCCTCAAAAGTGCCAGCACTCGCCAATATATTCCCCTTGTTGCAGTCATCATGAGAAAGCTAGAAGCCACCCACTAGCCACAAAGAGGGTAATCCGCCAGCCGCACGATCACTCCTACACCGTTGCCAGAAAGATCGAAATCATGGAGCGACACTGCGCATCGTGGACCGCAGCACTGCTTCAATGCTTTTTGTTGGCTGCCATTTTCGTTTTTTTTCCTGCTTTGACCGGACAAGTGCCCAAACCCCTATAAAGCAACTTCAAAGAAAGTGGCGTGGATGTTTCTGCAGAAGTTAAAAGTCTACTCCGTTCCATACGCAGCAGTCAACACTGTGGAGGATAGGGAGACTTCTCGAACTAGATGTGTTCACACCCCGAAAATAGTTTATTAACATTTCACACCCGTGAGGTGATTTTCCTCACGTCTATGCAGAGTAAGAAATCGGATGGTCCTGTGATGCAGAGATGAACAGCCTTGTTACATGGCTGTAAACATGTTGTTCTACACCACTTAATGCTTCACTGTCTTCGTTTCTTTGTTTGAAGTGTCGCGACACTTGATGTGCCTGCCCTTGTTTAGCTCATATAAGCACCTACAGCAACGAAACGGAGCTATGATACGCACACATTACGCTGACCGAACTTCTGCCATAACTTCCACAGCACCAACTGTGTGTCTGAAACCGAGTATAAAGCTCTTCAATCGCATAAGTCGTGATATGCCACTTTGTGGGCATTCTCAGCGAAGCTCACTAATTGATTGATTGATTTGTGGGGTTTAACGTCCCAAAACCACCATATGATTATGAGAGACGCCGTAGTGGAGGGCTCGGGAAATTTCGACCACCAGGGGTTCTTTAACTTGCACCCAAATCTGAGCACATGGGCCTACAACAATTCCGTCTCCATCGGAAATGCAGCTGCGGGAAGCTCACTAATTGACCTAAAGTTCGCAACACTTCACATAAAACTTTGCTCCCATCATTACTCCTTGCTTATAAAAGCATTCAAATGTCACATCTGTAAAACAAAGCAAAAAGGCTGACAGAAAATGCTGTTGATTTTGAGACTTTCCTCCAGCATCACATTCCACAGAGCCTAATCGTGATCAGCTACATCAGATACAAAAGACACCTTCATAGTGTATGATGATTGTTAGAAGAAATGAGAACTCCTCTCCCTTCTTTCTATTCAAGTACATGCAAAAAGAAGAAATAGTGTTGCCAGACAACTACTGAAGCGACCTGAACTAAGTGCTGCATTCAATAAAAAACAAAAGTTACACTGAGTGTTAGGAGAAAGATGTTAGTTAAGAGCATCATATGCCTTTAAAGATTAGTTTGGTTTGGTTTTTAACGGTGCATAGGCAGCTTAGGATTGCCAGGGATCTGTACATTGCAGAGAAGCTGACACTTGAGGAACAGCAGTGATAAAAAAAAAGGCAGCGATACGCGTTCACTGAAACTCCTTAGGGGTGAGCGCGTTCTACATAAGCATTATCTTACAAGCAGCATTTTACCGTTTGAGCACCGACCAATGGCACTATCAGCTAAGCAACGAGCAATTTACCTGGTTAGAAGCGTTTTATCCCAACATTGGCCATATCCCTGATAGTACTAATGGCATCAGAGTTCAGGTATCCCCCGTTTCGTAATGAGGCCCGCAAGTGTTAAAAACCACACAAAGCAGAAATACAAAACACCTGCCAGCACACCGACAACAGTGCATTTACTTCAAATTGCCGAGCCTGAGCCTAGTTCAACTCTGCAATCCTGAGGCCACAAATTTCAATTTATGGTTCCGAAAAGAAAAGAGAAGAAACGATCTCACCAGTGTCCTTATTGAACGTGAGCACCCGACCGCTTTCACTTGATGTGAAGTGGGCCAAGTCTGCAACGAAAGTTATCACAAATTGATTACGTGAAAACGTAGTGTAGACAACGTACCTAGTGCTACACATACTGTTTTGTGGTTTCACCGTACACCCTTGCTAATAATCACACTGCAGACCCCAGCACACGGCGGAATCTCACACCGCCAAAAAGCGACGAGATCAGCCATCACATTATATCGGCTTTCTGAACTCAGAATAGCCAGTTAAGGCTGAAAGCACGTATGCATATCTAAGCAAGCAACGCAGTAGATGGCACTCCCGCACAAGCATGCTTTGCACTTGCACTTCACGTAGGAAATCTCGTTACTTTTCGCCAATATGAGGAGCTGCATCATGTTCAGGCATCAACGCTCGTGGATATCATAAAAAAGTTGCAAAGATGAACTACCACTCTATTTTTATTGCGCCTGCATTGTACTTGTATTACATTTGTATATAGATGTTGATATTTATGTGCAAGTTTTGAAAACATTCACTGTGCCACAATAGTACAAGCAAAAAAAGGTTTTTATCTTATTTTTAAAGTGTGATGTTCCAAAGACTCACGACTTTTGAAACTTTTTTTTTCAATTCCAAATCTACCACCTAATAAATTAAAAAAAATTAACAGAGCTTTAAAAAGACACTTTACGAGCCTAAGGCAATTAAGTGCTGCTATTTAACGTTTCTTTGCAAAAGCAAGTGCACTGTGATTATTGCACACCAGTCTACATATATCATGAAATGCGACTTCAATTTTTTATTAATGCAGTGTTTGAGGTTTATGCCAAATACATGCCAAACATGATGCACTGAAGCAACCTTTCATTCAATAAAATGAAAACAAGAAACAAATAACCTTGCCACATTTTTCAAGGAGAAAGAATGGGTTATGGAGTGCAAGTACAAGATACAGACACATTGTCCTGCAGCGCACACATTTAGCAGAAAGGTTTCTTTTTATGGTGGCAAACAGCTGGAACACTAACCTACTTGAACTTCCCCTGAAAGAGGCTCAAAAACGCCATTAAGTTCTATTTGCTCGTGAAACAAACAGATAAAGATCAGAACAAAAGAAAGAGGCTCAAGCAGGCAATTGAATTGAGGAAAAGGGCCATCGTGAGCAACGCATCACAATGTTTGCTGTGAGAGCTCCTCCCGAGCCGTCTGTGCCATTTGCATGCTAAAGATGCACTTTTTTTTTTTCGTTTATCCTTTCTAAATAAAAAAAAAGACAAGCTATAAAATGATGCATACAAAGAGATATGGAAAAAGAAAGGTAGATGAAAAAGTAAAAAAAAAATATATGCAGCTGGCAAATGATGGAGAACGACAGTCGTGCCGTTTCAGCGCACAATGCATGACATGTGGAGAGTCCTCGGCGAACAATCAAACTTAACAGACAATGAATTAGAACACTCAGAACGTTGGGTTTACCGTAATCCTTGACTAGGTCGGGTGCTGTCTGGGCTGCATAGTCGAAAAAGGAGGCGTTCCATCTGAATAAAAAAAAGTGCAAAAAAAAGAGTTCTTTACTGATAAAGTAAATTGAAACTCCATAAAGAAATTACTGAATTTCGATAGTGTGTTGTCCATCAACCGCACCACCAACCAACAAGGCATTGCGTGAACTATCTCACTTTTTTGTGCAATGAACTGCTAATTCATCATGCAATGAACAACAAGTTTTCTATCAAACACATTGAAATTGCCAAATGGGCTCACCTTTTTTCACCCGTCTTGCTATCATACATGGCAATTTGAAACTCTGCCAAAAAAAAGAGAGTGAAAGAAATCGCAACTTGCTTCACTGTGCCAGAAAGAGCTTCAGATGCACCACGGAGCCAAAGACAAGAAAAATTGGCATTTCAGTTCATTTAGTAATAGGAGACCTTTTTTAGTGCTTTAAGAGCTATTACCATTTACAAGATATACAAATGATTGAAAATATGACGTGTCACCCTTGTTATCTAAAACTACCATGACAAGACACAACAGACTGGACCACTATTAGTTAAACAAAAAAAACAATCAAAAGTTGTTACAAAATCATTATACAGTATTCTCATTAAACAAAACCTGAAGAGATCAGGAAAATATGTTGTGTTTAGCAAGGGTTTCACATACTGACAAATGAACAAGGGATGCAGAATTCAAATATGAAGCCAATCATTTGAAAGGCACTTCTGTTTAAGTAGTAATTCCATTTAAGACATTTCTATTTATTGAGAATCCCCTGTAACTGTAATACACTTTGGCCACTGGCCACTTTTATTTAAAGAGTAACAGTTACAGGTTACTACAAATGCGTTAAAACTGCAAAGACGCTAAGTGACAGTGTGCTCAATGAACATCCCCTCCACAGTAGGCCATAATGTATGTTTGATTGATTTGCGGGGTTTAACGTCCCAAAACCACCATATGATTATGAGAGACGCCGTAGTGGAGGACTACGAAAATTTTGACCACCTGTGGTTCTTTAACGTGCACCCAAATCTGAGCACACGGGCCTACAACATTTTCGCCTCCATCGGAAATGCAGCCGCCGCAGCCGAGATTTGAAACCGCGACGTGCGGGTCAGCAGCCGTGTACCTTAGCCACTAGACCACTGCGGCGGGGCGATAATGTATGTTTATTTAGGAGCTAAATTTCCTTCTGCGGTTGAGGCAACCATAAATGCAGTTAGCTTCAGAGAAAGCAAATGAAGTGGCCGAATGAACGTACATATTAAAGAATTAAAAAGAGCTTGCCCTGAAGGCAATCACGACATTGCCGCCTTTTCAATTCAAATCTAAGAGGAAAGAATGTGGAGTTAAGCACACGAAGGACTGAATGTGTCATAGAAGATAGAACTGAACAAATGCATGCATCAAAATTTACAGACCGTAGATGCTGAAAAAACGAGAAGCAGGAAAGTTCGAGGACAAGTATGACCAGACGTGTATTGCAACAAACGCGCGTAAGCGACATAACGGAGGCAGGGTCACCATACCTGTGCGGCCGACAAAGATCGCCTTTTCGTACGAGACTGGGCAGACCTTGTCGGAACCGTGAAACGAAATGGTCTCCAACTTGTCCCCCGTGAACATGTCGATGGCAAACCAGACATCCAGCTTTTGACCTGAACACAGCGGGCAGTTGGGTTGTATAAACAGTGACTTCAAATGCACCCAAGCGATTTTTTTCTCTCACCAGTATACAGAATTCCATCGGTGCTTCGACACGGCGATGCCGACACCAGTTCCGGTATGGTGAAGGGGAGCTTCTTGATGGCATCTTCGCCGCTCCTCTCGCCAAAGCCATAAATGTACAGACTGCCGTCCTTTGGATCGGGAAGAAAACTTGTCCTGTGGAGAGCAGAGACAACGCCAGATGTCCACATAAAATGTATATATGCTGCCAGGTGCGCTTATTTGATTATTTCTGGCGTGATCAAGTTCCATCCACAAAAATTGCAACCACTGCTAAGCGCTGGCCTCGATCCAATAAGACCTCCTCACAAGCTAGACCTTCTTGATGCTGGACTGTGCTCACGATGCATGCAGTCAAGTTTATTCTAGAGCTAATGATAATGCCAGCAATAGCACTGGAATTCTCAATCCCTCATCTACAAACGACGGCATGTCCCGACGACCATCAAGCTATTCGGTGACTGAATGCGTGCGCTCATATTGTTGCACCCTCAATCTCATTCTTTGTTTCTGGCAACAATATCGACCAATGAGGAGCTTTATCTTAACTGGCTAAAGTGTCTGCTTTTTTACCATCATAACCATGTGACAATGTGCTTTTATATAGCACACGTTGGTTAAAGAACATGAGTATTCACTCATTTGTACAGCATATGCAGATATTTAAACGTTGCCTACGTTCAGTACAAGGCAAATTTGTAGGTTCCTACAAAAAAACACTTTTGCACGCACCAATCTGCACTTACGACAGGTTGACCAATTAAAACAAAGTCAGGGGCACAGCTTAGTAGCAGTGGTGTCTGTCAACACTTGTAACATCAGCCTGAATAGCAAAGGTGGACATGTTTATATCTATGCTTTGTAATTGAGCACTCAACTACCTGCTCTGGTGCAGTAAATTAAACTTTTCCATTTAGACAAAAGTTCTACTACAATTGGACAAGTTTCAAGTAGTTAATTAGCAATGTTTCAAGCACTTGACTTGCCAACCAAAACGCCGAGACTTTCTTCTTGAATTCAGCAATATCTACATTTATAAAACTACTTGCATTCCCTAAGGTAGAAAGAAATCTTACAGAAATATTGATAACCCAAGCCTTATTAATTACCCTGTATATTAAATTCCCTCCCCTTCATTAAAACTAGTTACACTTCATCATGTAAGAAAGTTTTCTCGTCTCATCTCGTCATGCCAGAATATTCTGCCACGCCAAACTAAATTGCTTCTCTTCAACGTCAAATGGTGCATATTTAAAGTGCCAGGAGTATACTGCTATTATACGAAGAGTACCACATTAGCTGTAACTACAATTAGACCTGAATCCTCAACTTAGGTGTCTTGTAGTGGTACTTGTAAGTTGACACTTGTGCATTTCTCGAGTTAACTTTGTGCACTGCTGAAGCAGATCCCGGAGGCAACATTGAAAGAAGCCCGCAGTTGCGATCTGCTACACCAGGTGTTGCAACGATCACAGCAGCTAATTATCTTTCAATGAACTCAATTAATTTTTGCCAATTAGTATGACAAATAATTTGCTCATAACTCTATTTCAATTTTTCCGACAGCTTTTTATGATTGGAAAAACAGAAGTAAGCGTTCAAATGAATGTGCTTGGAAGAGAAACGGCAGTGCCACACGGAGCTCATGCCACCAAAAAATATTGCTACCTACCTTTTAGAGACGTCGGCAGGCACTTTCAGAACTGGCTCTAAAACCACCAGAAATAAAGAACTGTAAATTTAAAAGCTCATCTTTTTTTGTTAAACACAAGATTAGTAAGAACAAACTTCGTTCTCATAACTACTCTGCCTAACACCAGAAAAAAAAGCATTTACAGTGAAGCAGGAATGAATACAGGCTTCCAATTTCATCAATGAGCAAGCACTTTTCAGGAACACCTATGCAAATGTCTAAAAAGAGAATGCTGCATAGAAAAAAATCTAAGAGCATACATCAATCACTGATCTACGATGACATTTGCTCGCAGTTAAGGAAATCCTTATTCATTCTAGTCGGGTCAACGCCCTTTTAAGCACACAAGCCTTCCTTCTTTCATTTTTCTTATTTCTCACCAAGTGATTTTCATTGTCTTTGAATGTTGAATATATAAAAAAATGGCGTTTTTTGGGAAGTCTCTTTGTCTTGAAAGAATAAACGTCATTTATCTCTATGACCTCAATTAACGCTATATATCTGCTAGTTTTGGAGCCCAAACTGCAAGTATATTATCGGTGATAAGAACTGACAAGGCATATTTATTAAACACAGCAATGTGATTCAACAGATAACCAAAACAAGAAAAGCAAAGCACACATCATTTGCAGTTTTTAATTGAAGAGCTGCACAATGTCAGACAAATGACAACAAAGATGGACGAAAAAAACACCTTACTACCAGCTGGACACTGGATCGAGTCTGTAGGTTCGTTTCCCGTCGGCATCTATTTCCTTTCTCATTTATCCCTTCCACCCATAATTACCACACTTTCATTAAAAGTTATAAATAATACTTGCTACCATTGTTTGGTTCGTTGTTTTCATGTGCATGTTACGAGTGTGATGCGTTGTTTTTGAGAGAGAAACAGCCGACACAGATAATTCGTGAAAGAGAGAAAGCACACTCAATGATTACGACTCTCCTTTGACCTTTGAGGACAACATGCACTGCAAACAATCCAGCAGGTCATCATTCCTCTCCACATCAACAAGCTAATTTCTATATAGCTCCTTCATTACCAGTTCTGAAGACCCACTTCTGATTGCCTCTGAAGGCCTACCTCTGATTGTTACGGAGTAATCTGTTTCCCAGCTTGCAGGTATGAGCCACAATTTTATTGAATGACGACAATAGAGGTGCCGACAACAACTACCGGTAACTTTTGTACATTTTTCTCAGTTGTGCCTACTGCCGCTTTTTCTCACTCCCCAAAATATTGCCACCTGGTCTTCTGTGCCAGGGAACAGTGAGCCAGTTCTGTGCCAGTGAACGAAGAAGACGAAGCCGAGCAACCCGTGCCAGCAAAGACGTCCTTCTTTGTGTCTGAGATTTTGACAGTCGCGTCTCCTTGTACGTTTCTTCGTGCTCCTAGCGTGTGACAACTGGTAGAGGTGCTGGGTACCCTATGCACCGAATTCCTCCCACTACAAGAAGCTCCAGCCCCATACCGGTGGTTACGCCTGTTCACCGTGCTAGCCGAAGTATCCATGGACTGGACCCCGAGTTCGGACTTCTCTCGGAGAGGATGATGGCCCCAACTATCCCAGGCAGCGCCGTCCCAAGTGGCTCCAACCCAGCCGGTATGGAAGGCGCAACGCCAATGCACTATGCGCTGTTCAAACAATGAACGCCGAATCCCTTTCATGGTGCTGTCCATGAGGATGTTGAGGATTGGCTAGTCCACTATGACTTCGTTGCCGCTCATAACATGTGGAATAACACAGACAAGCTCCGACGTGTCTACTTCAGCTTGAATGACGGGACGTGTGTTTGGTATGAAAACCGGGCAGGTCTGTTCACGTCATGGGTGGACTTCAAACGCCGGCTTCTCGAAACGTATGCAAGTCCCGATCGCCAAGAGCGAGCTGAACGTGAATTCCAGTGCCGTATGCAAATGCCAAATGAAGGCGTAGCAATGTATGTTGAGGACATGACGCTTATTTTTCGACGAGCCGACCCTCACCAGCTGGAAGAGAAGAAGGTGCGATACCTGATGCGTGGAGTGAAGGAGCAGTTGTTCGGTGGCTTTGTACGCAGCCCCCCCCCCCCCAGACTACGTCAGAGCTTCTTGCTGAAGCCGTCCTGATTGAAAGCACGCTTCAGCAACGGACCCAGACGTACGAGCGACAAGTGAACTTTGCCTCAGCTACGGACTACATGGGCGGTCTTGGGGGCCATGCCGACTTCTTCCAGGAGCTCATACGCTCTGTAATCCGCGAATAACTGCAAAAGTTTTCAGTACCCTCGGCCCCCACTGTCAGTTCTTTGTCCGGCATCATTTGAGATGAAGTTCAGCATGCACTACGAAAACTGTCCTATCAGACAGAGCTGCGGCCTCTAAATGACTTCCCTCGCATGTCGTTTGTGCAAACTCTGCTCCAGCCAGCACCACCTTTGGCTCCGCCTCCCATCGCGGCCCCTGCCATGCTTCCGGCAGACCAAATCTGCGCCAACCTGCATCGCCTTTCACTCTGCCTCATACCACGGCCCCAGCCATGCTTCAGGCAGTCCAAGCGGGCCCATACCTCAGCGACCGCCAACCGATTCCGCGAAAATCAGACATGTGGCAAGCCCCTGATCGACGTCCTCTTTGCTATCACTGTGGCGAACCTGGGCACATCTACCAACAGTGCACTTATCGAGAGCTGGGACTTCGTGGTTTTTCAGCCAACTCCCCACCTCCTAGGTTCGGCCAGCGGCCTCCGGAAATTGCGGACTACATTGCCCAGCAACGCGGATCGACATCTCGGCACCACTCACGTTCTCCAATATGTCTCACAGTGCCAAACAGTTCGTATCGTCTTCATTTTAAAACAACAGTTTTTGTCTTTTGCAACCTCTGAATCAGGTAAATGCTACGGATTGATTTCAACTGCCTCACATAAGTTCAATTGAGGGTTTCACAAATTACACATTTAGCATTAGCAACAGCAGGGTGCCTTTTCATCTTCTATTCATTTTTTCCCCCCAATAAACCAGAATAAAATTTGTTATGACTGAATAGCATAACTTTGATGCATTTCCAACACTCAGACAAAAAAAACAAAAAAAAAACAGGTAGACTTGGAAAGAAAAAGTGACAGTAAGAACCCTGGGCATCAACTAAATTTATTACAGGGAAGGATTGGGTTTTTATATAGAGTTAATACGTGCTGACAGCCGTTGCAACAAGGAATGTGACGCATGCATGATGGCACTCAACAGTAATTCAGAGTAAATAAGGTTTAAAAAAGATGATCTTTTTGTTTTTACGACAGCACAACAGAGGCAGCTCTCACGCTGTTTTCTTTCTATTCTAACGCAAAACAGCTCACGAACCAGACAACAATTTTTTTTTATTCTTAGGCTTACCCTGTTTGGGCACCTGTCAGCGTATGTTAACTCTGCACAAAAACCCATTCCTTTTGTGGCAATAAATTTAGTTGAAGATCTGTCCTTCTCTTTTTCCATGTCTGCATTTCTCCCTGCCCCTTTTCTGGCTTAAAGCAATGGTAATGCATCAAATTTCAGATTCCGACCAGCCCAGCAACCTGCTTCAAGCGATTTACATAAATTCTCAAGTTTTGTTGCTCGCTTTAGTACTTTTTTTCGAGTACTTTGCACGTGTGCCATCTTCCTAAACTCCGGCGCGCCCCATTCCTCTTGCAGGTATCAGCCCACCATCGAAACAACAACCACCGACCTTCTTTCCTGGACCAACGTATGCTGCCGGACTTCTTTTCCACGGCATGGAGGGTTCCATCCAACGTGGAGACCAGAATCAAGGGTTCAACGATGGCAAGGTGCCTGTCATCCTGCAGATGAAGAGGGGAAAAGAATAGGGAGTAGTGGCCGCTATTAAAAGGGCACTTGAAGAACAATTTATCAGCACAGCTGTCTAGGCTCAGTGAAAGAGCGTCTCATGTGCACGAAAATGATCATCATCGTGAGCTATCCACTCTCTTTGTTCTTCTTTCCATGTTCCTCACTCCCACCACATTTATTTACTTACTCATTTATTTATTTTTACTTATTTATACATGTACCTACAGTAACCTATTGGGTCATTGTTGTATGGGGATTTACAAATCGAAAGTACACACACACATCAAAGAAAAAAAAAAGTGCAGTACAAAACAAAAGGAAAACAAGTCCAAAATAAAAAAAAAATAGGTCAATCACAACTTGCAATACATGCGGAAAATACATGGGCTGGACATTTCCGCTTTGTTAAATGAAAATGAAAATGTTGACAGTAGGCAAAAAAAATGCCATTATGTGACAACATACTTTATTGAAATAGAAAAGATCGCTGTGCGAGGTGAGGTCACAATACCTGCTAAGCGTTGATTCGTCTGTCTCGGGATGGAGCGACTCTGACGGGCGAGAGAATGAATTCAGAGAAATAGAAAGATAAAAAGAGAAAGAAGAAAATAGAGAGGTCGATAGGCACACAGAAAGGAAGAGGAAGCGAGAGAACAAAAAAAGAGAAAAAATATGGAAAGAGTGAGAAGGAAAGAAATAAAAAATGAAAGAAAGAAATAGCAAGAATCGGAAGAAAAATAAAAAAGGCTGCCCATCTCTGTCCTCCATTCTCATATTTAGAGCAAAACTGCCTTAATTGTTTTCTCGTATCATTACTTTACAGTTTTACAATACCGAAAGCACCACCTTTGCGACAGGAAGACGAGTTTCATAAGCAAGAAAATGCGTTGAAAGAATATATAGCTGGTGACACCTCCATGACGTTCCTGAACGAGCTTGTTGTGATGTCCTGAATTTTAGCCATCTGCTAGGGCCTATGTGATCGTTTCAATTATTCACATTGTTTTCTAAGGACACAAACTGTTAACAAAGCAAGTTGTAGAAAATTTCACTAAATTAATATGGCCAAAACACGCTAAAAGGCTCTGGAACTTGTAATGTTGCACAGATGCTCACTTGCTAAGATTTCAACATGAAACCTATACATGACACTTTGACCTTCATTTCCTCTTTTAATAATATTAACTTATGATGCTGATATTAATGGCAACATAGTACTAAAAGAGTAATTCATCTGTCAGTAGTGATTTAGTGCTTCATTGAAGTGTCCCTTGAATCTCGAATCAGTGACATTATTATCGCAACAAGATTGCATCAGTGCCAACAGACAATGGTGATATAACGGCACTTCTCGTCATCCGTGTTTTGATAAGTTGTGCCTCGCATTTCCGTACTCTAAACTATAATAAAGAAAGCCGAGTCTTCCCAGGATCAGTTCCTCACGGAGTAATGACGCATGAACCTCGCACACGAAGAGATGATATTTAGCGAATGCAAAGGTCAGGAAGCACTTGATTTTCACTTTGACGCTTAAGTCCACCTCGAAATGTCAGACTTGGGATCGTGAATCTATTGCAACGTCACAACTGCCAGAAAACACTTGCCGATGTCATGCAGCTCTGCTGTGAATTTCATCTGGATTTTTTTTAGAACCCTGACACAAGTCAATATATTTGCGGATGTCACATGTCAATAAGAGTAAACACATTGGACCAGGCACCTTTAGTGTTATTTTTAAACCATATTTTCTTGTATATAACTTGCATAAAAAAAATGGAAACATGTGGTTAAATGTTGAAGTATCAGTTATATACAGGACTTTTATGTATGCTTCTTTTTGTGAAGAGTTAGGAGTGCGGGATTGTTGAGAGGTGGGTTATATGCGGGAAAGCGCTTTATGTAGGCAGATGGCAAATCTGTGGGCATCACATAGCAAGAAAGCTGCATACGTCATACTAATAATAGTGATGAAACTAAGCAATGATTGATTGATTTGTGGGGTTTAACGTCCCAAAACCACCATATGATTATGAGAGACGCCGTAGTGGAGGGCTCCGGAAATTTTGACCACCTGGGGTTCTTTAACGTGCAGCCAAATCTGAGCACACGGGCCTCGACATTTCCGCCTCCATCGGAAATGCAGCCGCCGCAGCCGGGATTTGAACCCGCGACCTGCGGGGATGAAACTAAACAGAGCAAAGTTTGCTGATATCACATTGCAATAAGACTGGCTAAGCCTTGTCTCACATATTAGACAGTGTAACATAGTGACACAGCACGAATTTCGCTGACATTATATCACAATAAGTCTACACGGAAAAATAATAACGCTATTTCAGAGAAATTTCGCAGTGCGTTTACTTTGCATTACACAGTAAATTACATGTTGGAACATAACCTCTTATCAATGAATGAGGAGACACATTCTTACTTTGCTCTTATCAATGAAAGAGTGACTGAAGCTCTTATCAGTGAAAGGGGTTACACATTTTTAACTTCAGCTCTTATCAATGAAAGAGATCACGTACTTCAACCTAGCTCCTATGGACAAAAGAGCTCACAGTGAACGAGCTTATCATTGAAAGAGGTTACATATTTTAAAATTAGCTCTTATCAGTGAAAGATGACAAACATTTAGACTTCCGCCTAGAAACCTGGCTCTTTGAAACAAATATTTTCATTAAAGATGGCACAAGAGTTTTGGTCGATGTGAAACTGCGAAATAGGAGCTCTTGACGGAGAGGGGGATAACTAAAAAAGTTAGGGGTAGAGGGAGAATCATCATCTTTTTAAAAAAAGCTAATGTTATCAGAAGGCTCGTCGCATAATGTAGGTACGCATGTGCTCATGGATGATACAAGATCAAACTCGGTAAAAATGCAGAAGAATCGGCTAATGAGGCATCATGCTGGGGGCACAAAACACTGGCAACGATCAGAAAGAGAGAGATAAACGCTGCACCTGTTCTGTAAGCAGAGAGCATGGAATACATTTGGCCTTTGGTCTCGTTGGACAATGAGGCCACAATTAAGAGAGATCATTTACAGAAATGACGAGCACACCTTCCCTTTGCTAGCTATTTCTTATTTGTTTATTTTTCCAACTAGATTTGGAGTGGTTTTCAGTGCTGAAAGGTGCGGTCTGCTGCTTGACAGCTCTTTGAAACACATACCTGAGTTGTATTTTTAATGGATAACTGCGTATAGGGAGAAAGAGAGAAAAGAAAAGAGAGAGAACTCTTGCTGCAGAATAACCCCTTCAGGCGGCGTGTCCTGTGAGTGGTTGTGTGCATTGTAAAATTGTCAAGATGTTAACACCACCTGGAAACATGAATTCTGAGAACCCAAGCTCTTTTGCGTTCCTTTGTACTGCAAGCCACATCCATGAAGAATGAGAAGGCGGTGGCTTACACTCGCAATTCACTTGCCCGGGAACTAAAACTCTCTAGTGCAAATAAGTTCTGTGCTCTCCTTTGAGTTTCTTGAAGAACATGTTTAGAAAGAGAAACTGACATTCTAACTTTTTTTTCCAAGAAATCAGCGTGAATTCTCTTGTGCCTTAGTGCTACAAGCAGGCCATTGTCAATTTCCCTTTCTCTCTAGTGTGACTTGCTTTATTCTGAGGTTTGACCACCGTGGCTGCATTTTGATCGGTGCTTTCTAAGTGTTCTGTCTGCAGTGATTTCTCGACTCGAGAAGACGGTCGTACAACCTTCAGTACGCGCAGTACGTAGATAGATATAGTATATTAGCTCTGTAATAATGTATTGCTGTGTTCCGTATAGCTTAGTCCTGTTTGGGGAAAACACCTGGTGTTTCTTTTCACCAATTCCCAAGCAATGCTGAGCTGTGCGCTAAATGGCAAAAGAATATTGCAAGAGACAACCTCCTCATCAACGACAAGTCTGCATTGACTGCCGTATGCAGCAGACACTTCTACAGTGAAGATTTTGTGCCTGTGTGTCGCATCAAGAAACTTCTTCCTGGCACCACGACTACTTTCTTCAAGGACTATCCTTCCTTGTTTTTCAACGCGCAGCAAGTAAAGAAGCACAGCCGAACCTCTTCGCATTCCATGATGTTCTCACTCTCCCTCACAGAGCCTCACTGCTAATTTTTTATGCAGTCTTTTTGTTATGCTCTTTGTTGCAAAATGAAGATGCCGTCACTGCACCCCTTCACTTCCTCGAAAAATTCCAGCTCGCAGAAGCAACCTCGTAGAGAGACGCACCATGACTCTGCCGTAATTACCCTATCTGTACCTTTAGCACAACGAGAGTGCAGTAGTAAAAAGTATGCATGTGTCACAATTAAAAATGTGTCTATTAATAGTGTAAAATAAGTCACTCTATTCTCAAATGTCCTTTTATTAGAACTCTATTTACTTCATTAGGAAGTAAATGTGATCACTTACAGAATGCTAAGCCTTTAACGGAAGGCAGAGCTCTTTCATCATTCTGGCACAAGGTTCAGAAAGAACCACGTCAATAAGTGATGTCGAATAATTCATGATATTTTAGGTACCTAGGCCTCGTTTCTTCAAGGTGGGTATGAAAAATATGACAGTGATGATTACCATTCATTTTGCACTACAATGTGACCATTTTTTGATGACACATCGACCAGCATCAGCCAGATGACCAGCAACATGACAGAAGCAAGCTTTGAAAATGCAAGGGCATTTTATACATGTGATAATTTACGATGATCCGTAAAGAAGAACTATTTTCTAAAGTCTTTTTGGGCTAGCTGGTTGAATGCATCAAAGAAATGTCAAAATATATCAAAGTACTAGCAGACGTATGAGGAAGGCACAGTAGGATGAGTGCTAACTTTCAACTAAATGTTCACTAAAAACAACAGTTCATGTAAATATCCACAGATACTGTATGGATTTCGTGTATGGATCTATGTGTACTGTACAGGTCAACAGTGCTATATGAGCAGAGCTACAGCTATTGTAAGAATTTCATGTACAAATCAACATGTAC